TGGAAATAATTGTATATTATAGATAGAGTATGGAGACCGGCCGATAGTCTAGTGTCGCTTCTGTTTTTTAAGGACTAAATTTTTCTAGAATGTAAATTAAATCTACACGTTTCTATTGCTGTTAAACGAAATTTTCTTCAGGAATTTTGACATTTATGTGATATACGAATTGAAATTTAGCGCTAAATATGACGCTCATATAACGCTAAATATACGTTTTTGACATTCATGTTCATACTTAGCCGTAAGTTTCGTTTACTTTAAGACTGTTCACTATGCTGCAATAGGAATCGCCATTAACCTATTTCAATCAGACATTCCGTTGAAATGTAAACAAATGTCGCTTCACAATAACTGTTTGTTAACATTTCAGCAACAATCCTATGTATGTCGATATGGGTTATGTGGAGATGAGGTATTGTGAAAATGGGCGCGTTATTAAAACCTGGATGGAAAGCTTTTTCTTGCCTGGTGTGTGTAAACGGCGGTATGCAATGTCGGTTTTATTTTGAAGCCTATTTAATGTTTATTTTAAACGTAATTTAACCTTGTTCGTGATGTCCGTTATTTTAATAAATATTTAAAAAATATTATTATTAATTATATTAATAGAACACAAGAACAGAGTGTCTTCTCCTTATTAGAGACTGTAAGTAGTGTTATTAGACATTGTCTTATGTTAAATATCGTTATTAGTCAATTCGGTTTGACTTAAATTACTTATTAGTTTTAAGTTAGGCTAGATGATGATGTTTTGTGATGTCTCAGTGAAGAGATAATGTTTTTAAAAATAGACCAATAAAAACAATATTTTGGTCAGAAATATTTGTTTAATGTCGATTAGATCGTTAATTAAAAAATCTTTCTATGTACAAGTCACCAAGGTTTTAGTTCAGAAAAAAAATTGTCTTATTTTTTAGTAAATAACTATCTATCCCGTGATGCGTTGTCCGATACAAAAAATATTTTAAATGTCAAGCCAGACAGAAATACTTATATTGTAAAATCAGAAAAATTCGAATAAAGATGTGGCCTTGTGATAAAATGTTGGCCGTTATTTCTGGTTAATCAAGACATCTTATTAAATTCAACTCAAATTCGCTGACCTATTTATTGCGTTACCGTTATTTTATAACAAAAGGTAATTTTATTGTTCTTACGCTCGTAAATTACCTTTTTATAGTTATAATTTTAATGCATATAATATAAAAAGATAGGTCCCATTATTTTTTTTACATTAAAACCATGTACTTATGCAACCAAGTTTATATCTTACCGTCTATCCTTACGTATTTTTTTCAGTCAAGAAAATTCCAGAATCAGTGTCTATGCTATATTTATTACCCGCCAATTTTAGCGTGAATATTTAAAAATAACTTTTTATTTACAGGCGGTATTTCTGCATTCATCTAGACCTCCACAAAGGTTACATACAAAGAGGTTTCTCGCTTTCATTTCCCTTAAAATAGGTCAAATGTCATCAGGAATTAGGTTTTTGTAAATGTGACTGTGGCGCCAACCAGGCGATTGGTGATAATAAAATGCCAATAGGTGTACAAGGAGGCTTTGTTTGTGGGTTACGTCTTTGTTAAGATGCAAGTAATTATTTTTGTTGGTATTTCCGCGTGTTTAAAATGTTTATTTGCATAAAAGGTAATAAAAATGTCACATTTTTCATCTTGACTTGTATATATAAATGCTTAAAGAAGGATTTATTTTGTTAATATGTGGTTATTCGTTGGTAATATATAGATGAGAAATCATATGTCACGAGACAAACTAACTTTCTCTATTTTATTGCATTCTGTTTACGTTTGAGCTTATTTTTATACACACATACCTAACTGATGACAGATGAACTGATCTTCAATTTGTCTATCAAAATATATTTTTGAAGTTACATATATGTACTTCTTTTGGCGCGTTAGGCAAAAATGATGACAGAAAATTATGACGATGCGCGCGCACACCGTCATAAAAAACCGACACCCTGAAATTAGTTATAGTCAACATTTTAGTTTTTTCTATTGTTATTGTCGTTTTTTCTACAAACGTAGAATAAGGCGAATTTTTTTTCAAAATTTTTATCTTGTTACGCCAAAGAAGTATAACTTCTAACGCTTGTACATAAAATACACGTTTCCTTTCTATATGTAGTTGGTTCTACTGTTCTTTATTCTTTATTGCAATGCACTTAGTAAAAAATATATAAAAATTTGTATTGTACGATTTCACTCGCACAAAAACAAAATACAGGATGTTCGCATAATGCACTACGGAGTGCGTCCGGTCATTCGATACTTTACCCTACTACTGTTATATGAACTGAATATGCATTGATATCTTTACCTTACAGAGCCTTCCAATTACGCGTTAAGTAATCATTTTATGTGTCAATTGCCACTTTCTATAATATTTGTAAAGAGTGACCACAAACAAATTTAAATAGAGCTCTCTGTTATTTATGTTCAAAAAGAACCCAGTTTAAATAGTAATTATATATTTACTTCGATATAGCTCTCAAGTCAAGTCAGTTACAATATTTATCAAAAAGTTAAATGTCAATTTAAGACCTTTTTAAGGTGTTTATGTAGTGGTAGTGTAGGAAATTTGTAGTTCTTGATTTCCTTTAATTAATAAGAAAGGCACATACTTTAAGTTAGGCTAGGTTACAATTTTATTTTCAATTATTTTTGTTTTTTTAAACTAGTGTGTTTAAATTAATATTTTAAGTATTTACATATATTTTAAACAAAGGTAATATGAGAATAATATGTAATTTCAGTTTAAGCTTATCTTTACTATTCATTAATTCTAGTTTATTGCGTAATTATTTTGCGAATTGCATAAAATTGTAATCAAAGTGCACTGGACTTTATTAATATTAACAAGCCAATATATCATTTCGTAAAAGTTCACGCTTAGTGCCAATTTATCACTGAGATGAAACTTGTTAACATTATGAAGATACGCACCAAGAATTAGGTCGAGGTGTATCACGGTATCAGATGGTCCACAGATCTGAATTCAGTTGGTCCTTGGGAAAGTACTTGAATTTCGTTATAATAATGTTTGTCCATGGTCCTTTTACACCTGCGCGTGGATATATCAGAGTTTTAGTTTTTTTTATTGCTAAATTTGTCGTCTTTGTTAACGTGAATTTAAGTTTAAGTAAAAATACATAAATTTATAACAAACATATTTATCGCAATATCGACCTTTAGTTATTTATAATCTACACCACCGTAACACAATCTGGTTTTCAGTTACTCTTTCTACAAAAATTTCACAGTATTTTGTCTTACACGATAATGTCACCTTTGATTTTCAACGCTTATAATTTAACGTTAAATTCAGGAAGTAAAAATTAATATATCTCCGAAGTAAAACTATCCTTTTCTATTTTGTTTTAAAGTTCCAAAAAGAATCCCAGAGTCTGTACCTAATAATGTTGCCGTTAATTTTTGCCAATTACAGTCAACATAACAAATCTTGATACTTATCAGCTTCACTCTATTATAAGAGTACTTTGTAAATTGTAATTTAAAATACATAGGCACAATTCATATACGCAATACGAAACAAGAAGTGAAAATATAATTTAGGAACAGTTAATTTGGTATTTCCACCAATAGCTGTCATATGTCAATTTGACAGATGAAATCGTGATGAATTGTATCTGTCATAAAATTTACGAGTATAAGACGTATTTTCTCTTTTTTATCGATTATATAGGTAGTGTAATAATATTATACTTTTGAGCGGCTTCCGTAATTGTTTTTCAAATTTAAATCAATGCATATACAGTGAAACTTGGTTAAGTGGGACCTGGATAAGTGAGAAACCTCCATAACTGGAACTCATGCTGAGGTCCCAACACTTTGGCACTGAATTACCTTTGTTAGTGGGACGAGGTAAGCCTCTATATCTGGGATTTGTTCTTTCGATTTATCATCATAGTTACCTCTATAACTGAGACAGCGAGTAAATTTTATATGCATAAACCTCTGTAACTGAGATAACATTGTTTGTTTCCTCATTCTTATTCTACCCACAAATTCCACACGTAATTCCAAGTACGTAAGTGATTTTGAGATTCAGTTACCTTCAGTTTTAGTTTCGCTTTACTATCATACAGATGTTTATTTGAAAAATGCCAAAACGAAAGCTACAATCGTTATCATTACGTGAAAAACTGAAGTTAATATCCGTTTATGAAAGTGGGAAGACACGCGAAGAAGTTTGTGCCGAATTTAATGTGCCAAAATCTACTCTTTATAGAATAATTCAGAGTAAGCATAAAATTGAATCACAATGTTCTGAAGGACAAGGAAAACTAAAACGTGTACGTTTATCAGAATATCCTGAACTTGAACAGTGTTTGCTAACATGGGTCAAGCAACTTCGTAACAAAAACCTCTGTAAATGAGACAGATATTTATTTATACCTGTATATCTGAGACACTGGGTAAGTGGAATACCTCTATAAGTGAAACGACATTGCAGGTCCCTTGATGTCTCACTTAACCAGGTTTCACTGTATATCTCTTAAACATATATAATATGATATAAAGGAAATTAATACATTGTTCCGAGAAATTATTCGTGCAGAACTTGGAATTATACAAGCATGAACATAACTGTATTGAATATTTCGATTGCTTATTAAGATGCCGTGATGGACGGTAATTACTAATTAATTAACGGTAATCATCAGACCTCTTTTTATTGTACTTAGCGATGCTGCGTACGTGCTCAATTAACACTTAATTCAAATCAAAAATCGTTTTAAATAAAAAAAATATGTGAATTGGATATGTTTAAATAAAAATATTGATTAGTTAATGCACATATACAAGGCTTATATTTATTACTGATTGCTGATTTAGCTAATTATAATATAAATTTAAAAATATGTTTATTTCACAATAAATTTGATTTATTGCATGAATTGTTTATGAAAACAAGCCTAGATGTAATTTGAGCTGCAATTTCTGAATATGTTCGTCGGTTTATCAATAGCTCTTGGCGTTCATTTAGGTACCAACTCTTTGGCTAACAATTATGATATACGTTTTAAAACATCAACTCTCTTACCTGCCCACGACACAGGGAATCCTAGCCTGGGGGGTTAGGGCACTTTCTCATTTTTCTGTATTATTTTTTGTTACGTATAATAAAGTGTTTCTTTTATACAGTCACGTTTTACAATATATCTTAGTATGTTTAAAATGAAAATAGATTTCTGACTGAATAAATGCGAAAGTTTGTTACGCTTTCTTGCTTTTTTTACTTAGCTAATTTAAATTATGTTTTGGAATTATTATTTATATATTAATTTTTCTTTCAGTTGTGGTGGACGTGGACGATCGACCTGTCTGCGTAGAAATCTGTGATACAGCTGGTCAGGTAAATAATGTTTTTTTCGATCTGGTAACACTGAAATTTCCCGCTACTATATACCAATTCGATTTCAATCAGCTGTCATTTGCGCAAAGAACTCTTAATACACATTAAATCGTATGATTTATATAAACTCTTTTCTTATTAGACCTATCTCATACTATAGAATTATTCACTATCAGACGGCAAAAAAGTCTATCATCAAAAACGATTCCTAAAATTGCACAACCTTCACCTTGTTCGTACTTGTTCATATATCACCTGGCCCAGGTGTTACTTCAGAGAGCACGTGCATTTGTGTTGCCAGTTTTTTCTACAATTTATAACGCACATGCCGTAATTCCCACAGTTTCTCTACCTGTGATTTCAATGGCGACTGAGTTCAATACCTTTGTGAGAAATTCATTCTTAATCTCTTTTTGTAGAAATCTTTACGAGATCAGTGTAAGCATGATTCATATTTGAAGGTTTTTTTAAATTGTATAAAATACAACTTAACTTAAGATTATATGAATCGTATTCACTCAAGCAATTGTTATACCACAGTCTTAGTTAAAGTTATTTTTTTATAAATCTTAAAAATCTCCAAATTTAAAAAATACGGACAAAAATCAAATTAAATTGAATGGACAAGCGACTCATCCCGCCATTTTACCAACTCTTATTAGTTGTGGTTAAGCGTTAGTTTCTCAATACAGATGTATTTATTTTCTTTCTATGCATTTATAGCACGGTAAAGGAAACATGGCGACCAAACGCGAATATCTTTACATTCAGAGTTGGACGACGTGACCGGCACAAAGGTTTTTGACTATATAATAAATACTACTATAGTCAAACTATAGCTAATGCTGGTAACTATAGTAAATACAACTATAATCAAACTTTGTCAATGCTGGTTTTTTACTATAGTCAATACTACTGTAGTTAAACTATAGCCAATGGTGATTTTTGACTATAGTCAATGCAGGTTGTTTACTATAGTGAATCAAAAGAATCAAAGGTCAACAAATCATTGTTTATATACGTAGATCATATCATGCTGGTACAGAAGATCAAGTTACATCAAAATAGGTTCGATATAAATACACCGTTTGCTCGTAAATTTAACAAATAGCACTGTAAATGGGCTCTCAAATATCAATTATGCTGTTAAAGTCGCTATTAACGTTGAAGAACGGATAAGTATAATTGTGGGGAATAATTTCACTGATTTTGCGGGAATTGTAGGGAACTGTAATTGAGTGTTCGATGCGAGAATCTACGAATAACAAAAATCTAATCGAAATTGAATAATATTGATAAATATATACACTTTCGGGCCACCGCTTGCTACTCTACAAATTACAAATTCGGCCCCACATGGACTACCTACTGTTCTCACCTCTGGGCAGGAGCTCCGTAGTATCAGCTGATTCTGCTTCACCGGATTTAACGAAGAGCGATTCGAATCGTCGACGACCGGTCACATTCCGAGCGGATTGAACCCTCGGCGTTGCGTAGAGATGTAGGATCTCTCTGCATCTTCTACCGCATTTACCATGGAGAGTGTTCTGAGGAGTTGTTCGGACTAATACCTGCAGCTGAGTTTCATCATGTGACGTCAAGGCAGAATACAAAATACCATCCGTATCACCTTGACGTCCACTTCCACAAAACACTTATGAACGCTGATATTTAAAAAAAGGAAGAATTAAATTTCCGTCCCGAATCAAGGGCGAAAAGAAATGGCAAATCTCTCCGCAACACTTTTGAATCGCCACGTTTTAGTTTATAAGGAAGTAAGGAACTGCTAATATTACGCCATGCTTCACGTAACAACTAAAAATCAAGTTTTTTTTTATACAACAGAGGGAAAACAGGCGGAAGGCTCACTTGATGTTAAGTAATACCGCCACGGGCTCGAAAGTGCGTTGCCGGCCTTTTAAGAATTGGTACGCTCTTTTCTTGAAGGATTTCGAATTGTTTCGAAAATATATCGGTTGGCAGCTGGTTCCACATAGTAGTGGTGCGCGGCAAAAACTGTCTTAAAAAACGCTCAGTTGTGGAACGACGGATGTCGAGGTGTTTCGTTGGAAAATTGTAGTGTAAATTATCCCCGAAACATCACCACTTGCAGCATGATAACTTTAGTGTATAAATAAAAATTTAATTAACAAAAATCTATAAACTATGGTATCGTTAAGTTTTAGATAGTGTTTACAAAATTGATAATTACGGAAGGTTGCACATGCCAGGTGCAGCAATTATACTTTTGTTTTAATGAAAGGTTTGTCCAAAAACTTTAACGAGTATCAAAACTATACGTTTAGCTAGTTGGTATATATGGCTTTACAAAAATGCTATGACAGAAAAACTATAAACAAATCAAACATTTTCAAATTTACGTGAGTGCCTTTACTCTCTGTAATGAATTTATGATAGCATTGTTTGCTTTGAATTTTTGGACGAACAAATTCCAATACAAATCGTTGTTTTAAAATCGAGTGAAAGTTTTTGTATGAAACAACTTTTTAAATTAGGCTTTTAACACTCTGAATTTAAATATTTTTGAGGGTAATTCATATAAAACATGGCTTTAAAAAGCATAAAATAACTTGTAATTAATCATAATAATAAAAAATATTGATTTTCAGTCACATGACACAAAACTGTCGCCTGTTTAATCCTAATACTATCTTTAAATTTAATTACAAAATAAAATATGTATGTGTATCTGTGTAATTTATGTTTGTTTACGTACACGTAATATACATGCCACGTCATCTTGTCTAGTGAAACGTTATGGCGGGTTCTTGTGAATGTATGATTTGAATTTTTAAAGCTACTATACTTAACAGAATCAAACCAATTTGTATGGTCACAGTAAAAATAATTAAAATAATTGTTTTTTTTTAATCTTGCCAAATAGCCCCTTGTTTAACAAATTCAATGCAAACAAAATTCATGCATAATCATCATGTAATTTTAACATTGGGATAAATGTTACATGTTGTTGGTTGATTGATCACTACAATTTTCAAAATAAGTTTTAATTTCCGACATGGCAACACCTCTTGATCGTTTCAGTAATACATTGTGAAATCATTTGATCGATTTATTTATCACGATCAGAAAAGGTAATGTCGATTGCCGCTATTGCATACTTTCTCTTTACTGTGAATACGAATCGACAAAAGAACAATCGTTTTATCGATTCCTCTTATGTAACTTTATGTTCTTATTTTTTTTTAATGGCTCTGGCACGGTTTGTGCATTAGCCAGCGTCAAGTATAAGATAATAATTCGTGCTTTTTGCCTTAGAAATTCGACCATGTCCTCCATGTACGGTTTAGGCACTCGCCCGGTATCGCACAACCCTCCCAAAGGCTGAGAACAAATTTAAATTAAATTAAAACTTGCCCTCAAACCGGGAATCGAACCCGGTACCCCTCACCTAGCTGCCACTTAATAAGACCGCTAGGCTATGAGGCCCCTAAACTGGGCTGATTGTTAATAAATAACCCACAGATGAAAGTAAAAAGCTTTAAATGCCAAATGCCAAATGTCAGATGAGATATAATATATTAAAACTTTTTTACATTTTATTTCAGGATTCAATGTCCGAACTACGCGAGCTCTGCTATCCGGGAACAGACGTGTTAATGCTCTGCTTCTCTGTGGTCCGACCAGAGACATTCCGGTCCGTGGCTAACAGGTGGACGCGGGCGATCGCTAATGTCAACGCACCCTTAATTCTAGTCGGCACTCAGTGCGATTTAGCACTCGATGGACGGGTTATACACGCATTAAAAGTAAGTATAATTCTTAACATGATCTTGGAAATGTTCAACAGTAATTTAATAAGAGGATTACAGAATAAATAAAGTAAATTGGAGTCTATAAACTATTGCGGTTAACAGACTTTAAGAAAATCGTAATCATCATGTCAATTATTGGCAAAGTTCTGTAACTGCTTCGGAGTTAAGCATAGACTACAAACTTGCAGTGGATCACTTGCCTCCATTTATTCGTGTCAAAATTGTTAGATATCCTAGATGTTAATTTGTTGTTCTATTTTCAGGCCCGAGGTGAACACGCAGTAACCGAACTGGAAGCCAAGGCATTAGCCGCCAAAATAAACGCTGTCTACGTAGAAACATCAGCGAAAACACGGAAACAGTTGAAAGATGCCTTCGACGCCGCCATCTTGGCTGGGTTGCCAGTAGTGCAACCGAAACGACCGTTTTGGAAAAAACTGTTTTGTTTAAATTAGCATTAAATTGAGAAATTCGTAAAATGTAAACACAATTTTAAAAATCCATTAGTTTGAGATGTTTGTTTTTATTGTTTTTAATGTGTGAAATTGAAAATGCCTACCTAAGTTATGAACTGTGTTTTTCGTTACCTTCTTGCAAATAATAAATGATCGATTAGTTACTTATTGTATATTGTTTTGTCACAAATTTCAGTAAATCATTGTATGTTTGAAATAAAATGTAACACTAGTTTTCTATATTAGCATATATAAAGTACTTTAAGTTGTGATAATGTGTATATAACTGACATTACGTTGAAAACTTTAAACATAGACTGCTCTTACGAATTTCCCAAAGTTTAGGGTAAATGTGTAAAAATATACCTAAGTGCCTTATGAAATATTGCGACAATGTTTTAATAGTACTTCCATTTATGTACCTAGATAGTATTTTATGTATTAATTGTTATAGTGACTGAACTAGAAATTAGCTATAGAAAGCTTGATTGTTTGTCAACTGTCAAAATATATTACTTATCAGTTGATAAAATAAGTGGCTTTTGAAAAAAGTTTAAAGCAAAGTAGCCTTTACTTATTATTTACATAGAATGGGGCAAATATTTTATTCATACATCTAAATTACTTAATTTGTATTCCAGCTCAACAATTTTCTGTTTAAAGGCCACAGATTATGTCTTCGCTATATTTAGTTAGAAATTATAAAATAAAAAACCACAGTAAATATTGTCACGTATATGACTATACAGTATACAATGTAAAATCTATATAATGGCCGCTGCATGAACAGCGCATTCTGTCATTATGAAAAGAATGTTACATTGTATTGATAATAATACAAAATAACCGAAGTAAAGTTATTTTGACGTTTTAGAAAGCTTGTCGTTAAATCGAGTGAGGTTACATTGAGTTTACAGGTTGCTTACACTGTTTCTAGATTGCCGCAGTTAACATCATGTAGAGAAAAGAACTACAGAGTAACAGTTATTGTATTATAACTTTAATCTAATGGATACCTATATCAGATCTTAAACGTTTTTTACAAACTAAACTAAAGCAATTTAAATAAAATATCTGAATTAATCATCTACTTATTAATTTGGCATAATTAATAGCTGCTATTTTACATCTTAACTTGAATATTAATACGATTATGCAATAAAAATTTAATGTATTTCTTACATTTTAAGTTGTATATAATGAACTATGTTTGTAAATGTTGTTTTGATACTCAACATGAACTGATAATTATATTTTATTACGACTGATTGATGTTTTTTTATTTATACTACACAAAATGATCTCTCATAGATAGCTGACACCTCACCTGTCGAGACTTAAGATTGAGTTGAGCGCTAAGTAGGGATGTGACATTCTGCATAAAAAAATCGATTTTTTATTAATCGATTATTTTTGTAGCATGAATAATCGATTAATAAATAATCGATTTTTCTTAAAAAAATAATCGATTTTTTTTATTAATCGATTTTTTCCTAATTTTTGAATTAATTTCAAAATAAACACCCTAAATATTTGATTTTTCATAGTTTTTTAAATTAAAAATAAACAATAGAAATTATAAACACAAATTAACGTTTAAGAACAATCAAAATCGAAATTAACTTAATCTCGTTTTGATAGATTTTGATAAATGCTGAGTGTATTCCTTTTCAGTAGCACATTTCAGTATTTTTGTTGTCTTTTTAATTGTATGTAGTCTTGTGCTGCTGAAAAAAATTATTTTACTTTTAAATTATAGTGATCCATTCAATCTTTAGTTTTTGTAAAATTAACTGCTTTTATCATCCTTTTGATGTTTTACAAAAAAAATCAATGTATCGAGTATATCAATACATCTTCAAAGAATCGGATTCAATGTATCGCATTGTAAACATCGTTGTGTATCGAATATCCCTAATAGTTCGAGGTCCGGGTTATAAAAGACCAGACATAATGTCGGGAGGTGGCAGATAAAAAATCGATTATGACTGATTTTCAATTATAAAAATAATCGATTATTTTAAATATAAAAATCGCTAAGTAAGTAAGATTTCTGTATGTCATTTTGACGTGTGGGACTAGCTTAAGGGCGGGTTGTTTCAAACCATTTGCTATCGTAACTTACGTTCGTTAAAATTTGACAGACACGTATGAACTTTAACGTCTGTTAACTTGTTAGCGTTGCTTCATTGTTAAAAAATGAGTTCGTCATTGTTAATGGGGTTGCCCGTTTGCGTAACGCTATTTTGACCTAATGTTTTATTGGAATTATTTTTTAGTAATAACAACATTGATAAAAACAATGTCATTTGAAAGATTCTGTCAACTTTGACATCGGATGTTTATTATTTTGTACGAAAGGCTAATTTTAAAAAGTGTTTAATTTTAATGGCGCGTCTAAACGGGCCATGCTTTGCTGCAATTGATGGCTGCAACACTGTGGCCGGCAACATTGCAAACAATAGCAGCCACACTATGCAATATTGCAGTAATGTCCCGGCCATATAGCCAAACATGTTTTGTATAGCCACATATGGCCGATGTTGCCCCGATAGGTGGCCGGACGATCGCTAGGCTATCGAATTCAACTGCAATATTGCACGGCCAGTTCTCTTGTTGTTTCAGTCACTCTCTTTGTTATGGCATAGTGTATCCTTTTCTACGCGACATGACATTTGCTTTGAGTGAAGTGTGCCTGTTGCTTTATTCTGTGTTTTGCGATCAGCTGTATTTGACGTTAGATTACTACGTAAAAATGACTACTTTTGACATTCTAGTTCTTGAATAATTTATTATCAAGACTTATTTCTAGACTCAAATTGTCTACAGTTTCACGCCTATTTAATTAAGGTCGAATCCACAATCTCTTCTTTTTCTGTTTCTTTTTTAAAACAATATAAGCTGCTGCGACAAGTGTGATTTCGTCAGCCATTGTTACCGGTTTGTGTGGCCCGTTTAGGAGTCTGCATCATGGGCCATACTATTGCAGACATATTGCAACACATTGCCCAGCCATAGATTGTTCGGCCATCAGCTGCATTAAAATATTTTTGTAATGGCCGGGCAATTAGTGGCCAACAGTGCAGCCATGAATTGCAGCAAAACATGGCCCGTTTAGACGCGCCATATAAAGAATGGAAACCTTTTCGCCAAAGTAAGTATAAAGCTATTATTTTATTATTATATTGCATGAATTGTATATGCGCAAAGTATGTATATTATATTGAGAGATATAGTTAGAAGTGTATTTATTTACGTGACTCATTGACTTTGAGAGAACGTTCGGTAAATTTTGGAAACTTTAGAACTCGGAACATTAGGGTTAGTAGTAAGACGCCCGCAGATCAAGGACTAATTAGACTGACAGGTCGGAATCCTGAATCTTATCCTAAGATCGTTCAAATAATCCTTCATATTATAAAAGACTTTAAAGCTTTAGTTCAACATGGTCATGTTTGTATACCATGAACCAGTCATTTTTACTGTCTACTCTTGCGCTGACTTAAAACAATACAAATATAAACTATATATAATATAGCTCTAACAAATGATAAATTCAGTCACAAGTTGCATAACGGCGAGTAAAAAAATATTTCACTTGATGTTTATTTACGATTAACTTCCAAAAAAAAAACTTTTAAAAAAGTTCTCTACTAATTTCCCGTAACGGTAATTAAATTATACTGCACAAGTTCTTCTTAAAAGTTTTTACTTAAATCTATAAATTATTTTGAATACTCTAAGAATTTTCAAAAACTTGGAATGTCTAGATTTAACTTTAAAAGTTGCGTCGACGTATTTTAGTTACAGCGCAACAGTACTCTGTGGTTTTCAATAATACTGATTGATGTCTATAACGTAATTTTAAATCGCTGTCAAGTAATTAATGCATGTGTCAACTGTCATGTTTGTTCAGATTTCAATGTCAATGTCCACTAGGCAGTGAGTACTGAGTACTAAGTAATTAGTAATACTTACTTGACTTTGGCGGGTTAATAACAAAGTATTAATATTATAAATAAATGGTGGAAAAATATAAAAAATAACAAAATTACAATAGTATACTTTATAAGTACAAAAAACATTTTAAAGACACAATAATGAGTGAAGAGGAAAACTATACTGAAGTGGATATATCAGATATTGTGGATGATTCTGAAAATTATTTTGAAAATCAAGCTACTGATTTACATGATTCCGAACAAAACTCGATACAAAATTCAGAAATTGTTAACTCTGAAGAAGCAACCTCAACGGATAAAAAATTACCGCAAGTCAAAAGTGATGTAGTGCGTAGTACGAGGTTACCCATGGCTAGAGTAAAAAATATTATGAAAATGGATCCTGATGTACACATAGTGAACGCTGAAGCTGTCTTTTTGGTCACTAAAGCAACGGTTTGTACCTAGTTCTTATTTTTACTCAATTTAGTCTCAAAATGTAAGATTTCAACTAATTGTAGCAACTAAGAATGTATACTATTATATTTTTGATTAAATAATTCAACTATCCTAAGCAATAGCTTAGATCAGTCGTATAAATTTATATAATATTTACAGGAAATGTTCTTGGAAACAATAGCAAAGGAAACTCATATATACACTTCCCACCACAAAAGAAAAACAATAGCGAAAAAAGATCTTGATGTGATTATAAATAAAGTTGACTGTTTGTGTTTCCTTGAGGGTGCTATGGACTTCTAATTTAAGATGTAAATACTTATATTATAAGGTTGGTTAAAATAAAATTTCTTAATTATAATTTTTATTTATATTTAACAATGATTGTTGAATAGCATTTATTCTTTATAAAACCATTATTTATTATTTTCACAACAGTCCATCAAACTTTGTAGAAGTAAAGCACATTTGCCAGTCATAATAACTTTGTCTTTGTGAATCATTGCGCTGTAAAAATGTAAAACAAACTTTCATTTGGCAATTTTATAAACAAGTTGAAAGAATAGATAGTATAGTATAGTACTTCTTATGATTTCTACACATTTAATTGATAATATTTTTTCACATGTACAATAACTAACCATGGTTACAATTCCTTCTTAAATTAGTAAAATGAAAGTTGGCTTGCAATGAAACCTTACTACATAAATACTTAAAAAACTTGGCTATAAACTACACTACAATATATCTAAAGGTATATTTTCTTACCCATTTTCTAACGCATTGCCTTCACAATCAACTCCAGAGGCTACAACAATCAAATGTGTAGGTAGCCATTCAAAGTCTGACAAGTTAGTAATCTCAGTGTCATCTGACAAATTAATTACACCTACAATTGCTGGGCTATTGGGAAGCATTCTGTTGAAAATAATTCATTATGCATTTTCATTATAACAATGTGTATAACAGCACTGAATGTTGCTAGCAGATTAAATTAGTGGACACAATTACATTAGGTCACATTAAATAATTAAATAAATATGAAAACAAACATGTTTATAAAACAAGCTATAATTAGGCAGACTATAAAGCTGGCCTTCTTAAAACATATTTAAAAAAACATTGCCTACCTGCCCACAACTAGAGTTGAATTTGAAATAGCTCTGATATCTAAATCACCTTTGCGTACTGTATCTTTCTTTCTGATGGTCACCACGTCTTTATAGAACTGAAATTTAATTGTACATGTTTCAATACGGTATTAATATGGTAACAGTTCTAATTACAAAAGCTATACTATTATTACCCCTAAGTTAAGAGGTAACAAAGTCTAAAGACACTATTTTAGCTAAAGTATGATTAATATTCTTTCCCTTAAATCGGGATTTAGTTTAAATGTTTCAAATGAAAATTGGCCTAAATATTTAGGTGTCAAATTTTATATTATTTCTTATTTATTTTATATGACTGCACTGGTACATTGTACATGGTTATATATACCTGATAATGACTTTTATTTGCCTTCATCTGTGCATCTAAATTCACATCTTTATAATTATCAGCAACGGGCAACCATGTTTTACCATCTGTAGTAGAAAACCCAGCATTGGGACTGTCATCCCAGTGGAATGGAGTTCTGCTTGGATCACGTGAAATTTTCCAGTAGTTGATAGGATCGTCAGTGTTGCATGCTTTTGGATCCTGTGTTTCTTTCCACGTTACAAAACCATCTGTCATACCTAATTCTTCTCCCTGTGAATTATTTGTGTTTATTACCTAACCTTCAAGGTATACGTAGGAAATCCGTAGAACAATAGGCAGACATGCAATTAGGTGATCAGCCCTCTCTGCCTAACACACATCATAAAGGTAAGATTCCGAGCCTAAACTAACATGGTTTTAAACATGTGGCTTATGCTGTCCATAAAATACTAATTAATCTTCCACCATAGTCCAGTCGCCACTGTCGAGATTACCAAGAAACAGATCTGATAATTTAATGTAATTAGTTTCTTTACCTGAAAGGTAAATGCAATTCCGGGAAGTATCAGTGCCAGCATATTCATTGCGTCTACTTTGTCAACGCCTAAACGAGTGGCTAATCTACTTTGATCATGGTTTCCATTCTGTAAAAAAACATGAGTAAGTCAACAAAAAAACAACGTATCCAAATAAATAAAATCTCAATAATTTATAAACGACGATAATATTTCTTAAAATCTTGCTAATTATTCAATTTCAGCTGCATCAGCAGTTAATCAAAGTTGGTTAATTTAATCTTTTTTATTTAATTTCCGGGTAAAAAACACGCACAAATACTCTACATAACTTTGCTATTACCCTACAAAACATACCACCCAGTTAGCAGTCATTCCCACCGGCATGTTCGCCATCCATTGATCAATAATTCGTTTAATAGCTACCGCATCAGAATCATTACGAACATTCTCCAAAAGGCAAAAGTTAAAAGGAATAGAACCATTCCTTTTGCCGTCTCCATAATATTTCATTAGGTTTTCTAACTCTGAGTAGGCTTCGGTTAACAGAATTTTATATTCCTGGCCCTTTATCGTGTATTCGTCGAGAACTTCTCGCCAATCGTATATAACTGAGTATGTCTCGTCTTGATCCTTTGTGTATATGTGTTTAAGATAATCAAAGTCGTCTTCTACGGCGTTTGGATCTCCTAAAAATTACGGCACATATAATTAATAACACTCCACTTAACTGAAATGTATTATAATATTTTATTTCACAGCAACATCAGAAAATTCGTGAACATAGTTGTTGTAATCACGTGACGGGAGACATGATTTTATAATCATCGGAACCTTTTTGAAGTTATACTTTAGGCGCGTTATGAAAAATTTATGAGAGTGAAATTTTACGGTGCGCGCGCACCGTGACACAAAATTAACAGAATGAAGTTGCCCACGGAAGATGCTACGGCATTGGACATAATTTAAATACAACATTCGAATAATAATAGAATTTATGTTACACTTAATGTAAGAGAATAATAAAAAATATTTATTTATTTAATTTTTCAAATGTAAACTGAACTTTATTGACTATAATGACTCCTTTTCCAGTCTTTGATTATTTAATTGTAATTAATTATTTGCATGCAGCCAAAAACTATTTTTAATAATGCCAAAGAAGTATAACTTCTTACGCGCGCAACCTTTTTTTTCATACATTTAAGACTAAAAAATGCGAAATTTATATTATAACATATCCATATATTTTAATATAGCAAAGTTTTGGAAACATCTATTTTTATAAATTTACGCCTCACTTGATCTCTAAGAAGAACAAAGAAACTCAAGTGACCGCTGTCCGTTTCTAACTGTAACAATAAACTATACCAGATCTTGGTTCATCGGGATATCGTCCACAAAAATTTTTGGGGTCGGCTTCGTATATCATGTTAACAGCATCAATTCGGTATCCTGATATACCTACATCCAGCCAAAACCTTAGGACATCCTGAAATCAATCAAATCATTACTAAACTTACTTAACAATACCATTCAATTAATGAAATAAGTGATGTCCTGCCATGCATCATTGCATGTAATAAATTAATACAAATAAATAAAAACATTACATATAAAATTCGTTTCATTTTATTTTTACTGAAAATATTATATAATGCCACACTGCAATATTACCATTCGGTAAGTGGGTGAAAAAAAGGAATGAATGTGTATAAATAAGAACATACAGATATTAAATTACATCGTCGACATTTCATTCATTCTGCTGATATGATGCGGACAGCAAGAGACATTGCCAGTATAGAGATAACACTTACCTTCATTTCTTCCTGAACCTTTTTATTTCTGAAGTTGAGATCAGGTTGTCCTATCACGAATTGGTGTAAGTAGAACTGTCCACGTTCAACGCTGTATTCCCATGCACTTTTACGAAAATGACTGAGCTATAAAAATATACTTGTAAATATGTAAGCAATGAGAATTTAGTATCTACACATAAAAAATCCATATTCTATATCATCTGTATTTGATTAGCGTCGCTTACTTATCTAAATGCGTCTCTACTCTCTAAGTATTAATTAACTGACTTCACCTCTGCAATCGAAGGGATGATCGGCAGAGTTATTATTAGATTTATCTATATTAACCCATTGTTACTTATGTATATACATATAAAATACTATATGATCATAATTAGTACAGACAGAAAATATATTTCGTTTATACTTTACCCAGTTATTGGGAGGCTGAGTTTCTCCCACTGTGCTTGTATTAACGCCATCTGCCCATACATAATAGTCCGAATACTCAGGGTCTCCCTTTTTAGACTTTATGAACCACTCGCTCTCATTGCTCGTATGATTCGGTACTAAGTCTAGGAGTACACTAAGACCTGTAATTATCATGATGTTTCATATTTTAATTCTTATTACAACTTCTATCATGTATAAAATTCGGTTAAGTGGTCTATAGGATAGTCAGCGAAATTACGAAAAGTAGAAGACGTTTTGCTATTTTATTGTTGTTAAATTATAACAAAACGTCTTTTAAATTACCTATTTTCTCAATATTCATTATTTGAACTCAACTTTGTGTTGAGTTTCTTGTTTACTATGTAATGTTTTCAAAAGATGGAATTGTAGAAGAAACTAAAATACTTTAAGTAATAAACATAATTAATGTTACGTAAATTGTATCGACGGACGCGGACGCCCATGACTTTCATCTGAGTAAATTCTCCACGTAATATTAAATATTTCACCTATACTTATATTTTATATGTATTTAATACTTCACTCAGTTATAAGTTACAACCGTTGTTATCGATACAATTCAGCTGAATTGTACCCTTATAACTTATACATACAACTACTGGATAACAATTGATTTACTAGATTTTAAACTGTTAACAGTGTTACCTAATCCTTTAGCTTTTGCAAGCAGGGTCTCAAAGTCTTCCATAGTTCCGAACTCTGGTGCAATCTGTCTGTGGTCGGAGATATCATAACCAGCGTCATACATTGGGGAAAGGAAAATCGGCGATAGCCATATTGCGTCAATACCAGTTTCTTGGAGATACGGCAATTTTTCTGTTATACCTGAAATATTTTACGTGGTGGTCGGTGTATTGCATGGAGATAAATTACTAAGATGGCAGCGGACTTTTCGTATACAACTTCTACATCAATGTTAAAGCTAAATCATTCGAATTTTGAGGACCGCTTCATAGATCAGTTGCGGTAATCTTAATAACATGATTTTAATTTTAATAAGGAACAATAGGCTTAATACCAACTTGCTTAAAATGGGCACATAACAGGACTAGTTTCTTACCATTTAGATCACCCGTTCCATCTCCATTGCTGTCCTTAAAAGATCTTGGATATATCTGATAGATCAGAGCTGATTTCCACCACTCAAGATCCACAGCCGACGCTTCGGCTATGATTAAAATCAAGAGCATCCGCATAGCAGTAAGTTTTAAGCGAAACTACAAATAGTAAGGAAGTATCTATATTTTGAATGACGTCATAGATGACCTGTCTAATTATACTTAAACATATTTTTTATTATGTTTCTCATAAATAATTAATCAATTATTAATTAATTAATTTGATTGTTATAATTACGAATAAATAGTACTTATATCACAGGTTACGAGACATTGTATTTTAAATAGATATTGAATTACACATGAAGTTAAATTGCACACATTTTACACCTTATCTCGGATTAGGTTCATTGATCATTTTTTTCCAAGGCAATTCCGATCCAAGAGGTTGTCCTCTATGCCTGACACAATTTAATTTTTGGGTCTAAGGTACCGTACGACGCGACGGTGTAGGGTGCCGACAGTTAGAGCAAACATCGTGAAACACCGGTATGTGTTAAGAAAAATCAAAATAAAGTCTCTAAAATGGTAACTTCGTACTTTCAAAACCGATTTTAATATTGATCATATAATTCGTCAATGTTATGTAAATGAATCCCCTTTTTAATTGTCTGCATATCGCTCCCTCAATAAAAAGGCTTTACTACGGTAAAGCGAGATTTTAAATGATAAAGGTACGAAATTAAATTCTCCAGCGGTTATATATCACGAGGTTATTCATGGCTAGAATAAAAAATAATAGGAAATTGCATCCTGATGGAATCAAAGTAAAAGCAGAATCTGCCTTTTTAGTCACTAAAGCAACGGTTCGTTCTTATTTTTACTCAATTTAGTGCCAAAATGTTACATTTCTAATAATAGCAACTGAGAATATATATTATTATAATTTAGATTAAATAATTCAACTATGTTAAAGCATTCAATAATTTAGATCAGCTTTATTAATTTATAAACTGGGAATGTTTTTGGAAACAATAGCAAAGGAAACTCTATATACTTCCCATCACAAAAGAAAAACAATAGGGAAAAAAAAACTTGATGTCGTTATAAATAGAGATTACTGTTTTGTTTCCTTGAGGGTGCCATGGACTTCTAATTTAAGAGATTACTTATATTATAAGGTTGGTTAAAATAAAACTTCTGATTTATAATTTTTATTTATATTTAACAATGATTGTTTAATAGCATTTATTTTTTATAAAAGCATTATTTATTATTTTCACAACAGTCCTTCAAACTTTGTAGAAGTAAAGCACATTTGCCAGTCATAATAACTTTATCTTTGTGAATCATTGCGCTGTAAAAATGTAAAATGAAATTTCTTATGACAATTTTATAAAAAAATTAAAGAATAGGTATCTAGTATTTAATACGAAATTTTAAGAAAACATCTTTAATTGATATGATTTTTTCATATGTACAATAACTATGCATGGTTACAATTCCTACTGAAAGTAATAAAATCTAAGTTAGCTTGCAGTGAAACCTTACCACATAAACACTTAAAAAAACTTGGCTATAAACAACACTGCAATATTTCTATAGATATGTATAGTAATTAGTACCGACTAAAATATGTTCTTACCCATTTTCTAAGGCAATCCCCTCACAATCAACTCCAGAAGCTACAACAATCAAATGTGTAGGTAGCCATTCAAAGTCTGACAAGTCAGTAATCTCAGTGTCATCTGACAAATTAATTACACCTACAATTGCTGGAGTTTCAGGAAGCATTCTGTTGAAATAAGTCAATATGCATTTTCATTATACCAAAGTAACCGCACTAAATGTTGCTAGCAGATTAAATTATTAGACACAATTACTTGGCCTAAAATTACATTAGCTTGCAACATATTTATAAAAAAAGCTCCTACTGGGAAACTACACTGAGGCGGAATTAAGTTATAAAGCTGGCCTTCTTAAAACATATTAAAAAAAGCATTGACTACCTGCCCACAACTATAGTTGAATTTGACATAGCTCTGACATCTAGACGCCCTTTGCGTACTGCATCTTTCTTTCTGATGGTCACCACGTCTTTATAGAACTGAAATTTGAAATTTCAGTGTAAGTACATGTTTCAATGCAGTATTTATATGGTTTGACACTATTTTAACTTAAGTATGATTAATATTCTTTCCCTTAAATAGGGATTGAGTTTTAATGTTTTAATTTAAAATGGGCCTAAATATTTAGGTGTCAAATTTTATATTATTTCTTATTTATTTTATATGACTGCACTGGTACATTGTACATGGTTATATATACCTGATAATGACTTTTATTTGCCTTCATCTGTGCATTTAAATTCACATCTTTATAATTATCAGCAACCGGCAACCATGTTTTACCATCTGTAGTAGAAAACCCAGCATTGGGACTGTCGTCCCACTGGTATGGAGTTCTGCTTGGATCACGTGAAATTTTCCAGTAATTGATAGGATCGTCAGTGTTGCATGCTTTTGGGTCCTGTGTTTCTTCCCACGTTATATAACCATCTGTCATACCTAATTCTTCTCCCTGTGAATTTTTTGTTTATTATCTAACCTACCTAACCAGGTAAACAATAGGCAGACATAGGCAATTAGGTGATCAGCCCTCTTTGCCTAACACACGACATAAGGTTAAGATTCCGAGCCTAAATTAACATGGTTTAAATATTTGGCCTATGCTGTCCATAAAATATTTATTAATCTTCCATCATAGTCCAGAGGTCGCCACTATCGTGATTACTAAGAAACAGATCAGATCAATTAATGTAATTAGTTCTTTTACCTGATAGGTAAATGCAACCCCGGGAAGTATCAGTGCCAGCATATTCATTGCGTCTACTTTATCAACACCTAAACGAGTGGCTAATCTACTTTGATCATGGTTTCCATTCTGTGAAAAATTACATAAAATTAGTCAACAAAACAACAACGTAAACAAATAAATAAAATCTCAATAATTTATAAACGATGAAAATATTTCTAAAAATATGGCTGCATCAAGCAGTTATTCAAAATTGGTTAATTCAATCTTTGTTATTTAATTTCCGAGTAAAAACACTGTGTTACTATAACATACCACCCAGTTAGCAGTCCTTCCCACTGGCATATTCTCCATCCATTGATCAATAATTCTTTTAATAGCTACCGCATCAGAATCCCTACGAACATTCTCCAAAAGAGAAAAGTTAAAAGGAATAGAACCGTTCCTTTTTCCGTCCCCGTAATATCTCATTAGAAGTTCTAGGTCTGTGTAGGCTTCGGTTATCATGATTTTATATTCCTGATCTTTTATCGTGTATTCGTCGAGAACTTCACGCCAATCGTATATAACTGAGTATGTCTCGTCTTGATCCTTTGTGTATATGTGTTTAAGATAATTATAGTCGTCTTCTACGGCGTTCGGATCTCCTAAAAATTTCGGCACATGTAATTAATAACACTCCACTGAACTGAAACGTATAATACTTATTTTATTTCACAGCAACATCAGTAACTCGTGAACATACTTGCTGTAATCGGAACCTTTTTCTTTCATACATTAAAGATTAAAAAATGGGAAAATGAATATTATATCCATATATTTTAATATAGCGAAGTTATAAAAGGCTGGAAGACATCTATTTTTATTAATTTAGGATCGATTACACGTTATTTGAACTCTAAGGACAAAGACAAACTCAAGTGACCGCTGTCCGTTGCTAACTGTAACAATAAATTATACCAGATCTTGGTTCATCGGGATATCGTCCACAAAATTGTTTGGGGTCAGCTTCGTATATCATGTTAACAGCATCAATTCGGTATCCTGATATACCTACATCCAGCCAAAACCTTAGGACATCCTGAAATCAATCAAATCATTACTTAACTTTCTTAACAAGACCATTCAATTACTTAAATACCTAAGTGATGTCCCGCCATGCAAAAATGCATACAGTAATCGATTAAAAACATTACATAGAAAATTCGCTTCATTTTAGTTTTCCTAAAAAAACAGGTAATCTTACTTGTATATGTATAGTCAATCTAATATCTAAACTAATATAATAAAGAGGAAAGATTTGTATGTTGATTTAAGCAATTATTTTTAAGTAAATACCTATGACAGGACGTGTTGGTAACAATATTCTAGGCCTTGTGATGCGCCCTGGTAGAGTCGGCTAAAATGCCTCACTGCGTTATTAACATTTGATAAGTGGGTGTAAAAAAATAAGAAAATAAAGACACTTAATTCTTAAAAGGCCGGCAACGCACTCGCGAGCCCTCTTGAGAGTGTCCATGGGCGGCGGTATCACTTAACATTAGATGAGCCTCCTGCCCGTTTGCCCCCTGTTCTATAAAAAAAAAACTTAGTAGAAAATATATTACATCCTATCATAGGTTTAAATCGTTGACACTTAATTTTGTTGATATGACGCGGAAAGCAAGAGACATTGCCATTATATAGATAACATTTACCTTCATTTCTTCCTGAACCCTTTTATTTCTGTAGTTGAGGTCAGGTTGTCCTATCACAAATTGGTGTAAGTAGAACTGTCCACGCTCGACGCTGTATTCCCATGCACTTTTACGAAAATGACTGAGCTATAAAAATATTCTTGTAAATATGTAATCAATGAGAAATGTATGCTTTAGTATCTATAGGTACATAAAAAATAAATATTCTATATTATCTGTATTTGATTAGCCTCGCTTACTTATATAAGTGCGTCTCTAAGTAATAACTGACTTCACCTCTAACAGGGCTACCGACGGGATGATCAGCAGATTTATTATTCGATTATCTACGTATATATACCCATTGTTACTTATGTATATATATAATGTTATAATATAATAATTAAAGACCGAGAAAAAATATAGTTAGTTGCTAATTCGTTTATACTTTACCCAATTACTGGGAGGCTGAGTTTCTCCCACTATGCAGGTATTAATGCCATCTGCCCATACATAATAGTCCGAATACTCAGGGTCTCCCTTTTTAGACTTTATGAACCACTCGCTCTCATTGCTCGTATGATTTGGTACAAGGTCTAGGAGTACACGAAGTCCTGTAATTATCGTGATGTTTCATATTTTCATTCATATGACAACCCATCAAGATATATGAAAATCGGTTAAGCGGTTTATAGCATAGTCAGCGAAATTACGAAAAGTTTTTGCTATTTTATTGTTGTTAAATTACCTATGACGAAACTACTTTTAAATTTATTTACCTAATTTCTTCATGAATGTTAATCATTTAAACTGAATTTTGTTTATTACTAAATTTATAGACCACAAGCCCATGAACAAAAAATACCTGTGAAATGACCCAACGTGAATTACGCTTAGAAGGCTGTTACTATATCTGAAAATAACTCTGAGCACTATGCCGTCATTTCTGAGCGGTACATGTGAGTACGTGAGTGAATGGAATTTCTCAGGGACCAATGAGGAATTTCGACTTATTATTAATGTACGGCTTTGTTATAAGTGTATAGATGATTAAAAATAAATGTCGAAAAACCTAGTGCCGTACTAAAGTGATGGTACCGGAAGTCGGTGCAAATTTTTAATTCGACGATAGTTGCAGAAGCAATATAGGTCATTTATTACTGTACGGCATTGGTGTAATTCCTTTTGGACACATATACAGATACTTTACCCGTAAACGCCGTATTTATTTCCAGCAGAGTGGTCGAAAGCCAAGGGTCGCAACATATCTCTGATTAGCATATATAGGTGATGATGATATAGAACAACATAAAATTAAATGATCTTGAGAGTACTTCACAAATAGGTAACATTTTCCAGCATGCCGTACATTTTTTGTGGAACACATAGGTGTATGGGGTAAATTACTTTCCTCCGAAAAGAGTCATTTTCCGGTGACTTTTATCTGTACGGCAATAACACAGGTTATTAATACTTTAGACAATCTTCAAGAAAAGATAAATGCCGTACACTTTCGATAGTCCGCTAGTCTGTGAAATGGCAGATCATACCACCGCCTACCAATACAGGGCGTCCCAAAGTTATGGGACATGAAGGGAATGTACCTTTAATATCGTAGATAGGGTATTTTACTGAAAGAAAACTTTATGTTATTTTTAAAAGTTAGTAATTCTGCATTTAAAGATTTTGTAAAAATTACTTGCCTCGTCTGGGAATCGAACCGACTTAAATGTAAAAAAAAACAACCCCTACTTTTATGATGCCAATCGAAAGAATGGCCAAAAACTAATAACTCTTCTTAAGTAACATAGTATTTTAAAAGAAAGGAACTGCGTGGATATATCTTTTTTAATCAAATTAAAAACATTATCTATCGTATTCGGCCTAAAAATATCCTCTACGAATCTGTTACTTTATCTACGGATAAAGTATCTGAATATGTGTCCAAAAGGAATTACACAAATGCCGTACAGTAATAAATGACCTATATTGCTTCTGAAACTATCGTCGAATTAAAAATTTGCACCGACTTCCGGTACCATCACTTTAGTACGGCACTAGGTTTTTCGACATTTATTTTTAATCATCTATACACTTATAACAAAGCCGAACATTAATAATTAGTCGAAATTCCTCATTGGTACCTGAGAAATTCCATTCACTCACGTACTCACATGTACCGCTCAGAAATGACGGCATAGTGCTCAGAGTTATTTTCAGATATAGTAACAGCCTTCTAAGCGTAATTCACGTTGGGTCATTTCACAGGTATTTTTTGTTCATGGGCTTGTGGTCTAGTACTTTAAAGATGGAATTGTAGAAAGAAATAAAATACTCAAATTTCCAATTTTCGATAATAAACATAATTAATGTTTCTGAAATTGTTTCGACGAATGCCCATCTGTGTAAATTCTCCACGTTTACAATGTCAGTTCAGCAGCTGAATTGTATCGGTAACACCCATATAACTTATACATATAACTACAGGAGAACGAATAATTTACTAGATTCTAAACTGTAAACAGTGTTACCCAATCCTTTAGCCTTTGCAAGCAGGGTCTCAAAGTCTTCCATAGTACCGAACTCTGGTGAAATCTGTCTGTAGTCGGAGATATCATAACCAGCGTCATACATTGGGGAAAGGAAAATCGGCGACAGCCATATTGCGTCAATACCAGTTTCTTGGAGATACGGCAATTTTTCTGTTATACCTGGAATATTTTACGGTGTATTGCATGGAGATAAATTACTTAGATGCCAGCGGACTTTTCTTATACAGCTTCTACATTAAATGTTAGAGCTAAATCATTCGAATTTTGAGGACCGCTTCATAGATCAGTTGCGGTAATCTTAATAAAATGATTTTGCAAAAATGGGCTTAATTACCAACTTGCATAAAATAGGCGCGTTACAGGACTAGCCCCTTACCATTTAGATCACCCGTTCCATCTCCATTGCTGTCCTTAAAAGACCTTGGATATATCTGATAGATCAGAGCTGATTTCCACCACTCAAGATCCACAGCCGACGCTTCGGCTATGATTAAAATCAAGAACATCCGCATAGCAGTAAGTTTTAAGCGAAACTACGAATAGTGTAAGGAAGTATAATTGCAATGGTTTTGAATGACGTCATAGATAAACTTTTCAATTACACTTAAACATATGTTTTATAATGTTTTTCATAGGTAATAATTAATCAAAGGTTACGAGCCATTGTATTTTTAATAGATATTGAATTATATAGTAATAATATGAAGTAAGAATAATATAAATGGGTAAATATAGTTATAGGTAACATTTTACACTAAATCTCGGATTAGGTTCTTTAATCATTTCTTTTCAAGGCAATTCCGGTCCAAGAGGTGGTCCTCTATGCCTGACACAAGTCGATCTTAAGGTCTTAGGTACCATACGATGGTGGGTTGCCGACAGTTAGAGAACATCGTGGAAAAACCGGTATGTGTTAAGAAAAATCAAAATAAAATCTGTCAAATGGTAATACATATTGAATTTTTGTCATCATTCATCAATGTTATGTAAATTAATCCCTTTCTCATTGTTTACATATCGCCCCCTAAGTAATACAAGCCTTACTCGATTTTTTGGTAAAGCGAGATTTTAAATGCCTAGGGCACAAAATGAAGTTCTCCAGCGGTTAGCGCTGCAAGAGATAGAAGAAACATAATAACAACTCGGTAAACACATTTGCGCCTCTGTCACACCTCTAACGCGCATCTCCCGATCATACTGCTAAAAGTTACAAATAATTAGTAATTATTCAAAGAAGTTAGACTAAAGAGTAAGTGTGGAGTTTCTTACCCATTCATCTCCACGAAACTACTTTTGGAAGGGGCAACTATAATTATATATATTTTATTTAAAGTTCAATAGTGCCATTTTAGGTGGTCTAATTGGAATACATGATTTGATAATTTAAAAAAAATGACTGTACAAACGTTGCGCAATTCGTGTTTGTACGCTTCTATATGAAAAAACAGGTAAAATTCAAAAAATCATTTAATCATATACCTAGGTAACTTGTACACTTGTACACTTATGACTTGTCAGTATAGAAATACATATTAATGCTTCTCATTTTAAATTTAGTGCCAGTTCTCAAATCAAGGGCGTAGAACGGAAGAGAAGAACTGGCAATAAACTCTCCGCCACTCTTTTTAATCGCCATGTTTTTTTTTACACAACGTTTGTAAGGAGCTGCAACCATTAAACCATGTTCCACATGACATCTTAAGTAATTAATAATAATAACATAAATTAAAAACAAAGAGTTGTCCTCTATCAGCAGGAGGCATGGTGAAATAGGAGCACGCACTTACAGTCTCGTCGGAACAACACATAGTCGAAATAATTAACATCACCGCATACACGAATTCAAGTACGACCAGTCACCACAAGTAGCACCCGTTCACGAGTATGACGCATGGCCAGCCATCGGCTTCCTCGCCATATTTTAGGGAGAGAGACAACCCGACGCATGGACGCAAGGTAAGTTTTGTTACAACAGTTTAGAATTTGATTCTACGTACTTTGAAAATCAGGCTTCTGATTTACATGACGAACCAAACACGATACAAAATTCAGAAATTATAAACTCTGAAGAACCAACGTCGACAGAGAAAAATTTAAGCAAGCCAAAAGTGATGTATTGCGTAGCACGTGGTTATCCATGGCTAGAATAAAAATATGAAAATGAATCCTGATGTACACAAGAAGCTGACTTTTTGGTCACTAAAGCGACGGTTTGTAATTCGTTCTTATTTTGACCTAATGTTACTTTCGAAGAATTGCAACTAAGGATAATATATATTATTATATTTTATATTAAATAATTCAACTATGTTAAAGCAATCAACAGTTTAGATCAGTGTGTAGCTTTATCAATATATTTACAGGAAGTGTTCTTGGAAACAATAGCGACAAAATAAATTGATGTGATTATAAATAAAGTTGACTGTTTGTGTTTCCTTGAGGGTGCTATGGACTTCTAATTTAAGATGTAAATACTTATATTATAAGGTTAGTTAAAATAAAACTTCATAATTACATTTTTATTTATATTTAAGAATGATTGTTGATAATAGCATTTATTGTTTATAAAAGCATTATTTGTTATTTTCACAACAGCCCTTCGTTGTGACACACAAACTTTGTAGAAGTAAAGCACATTTGCCAGTCATTACAACTTTATCTTTGCGAATAATTGAGCTGTAAAAATGTAAAACAAAATTTCATAAGACAATGTTATAAGAAAATTGAAAGAATAGATAATACTATACTCATCTCATTTTTAAGAAAACACCTTTTTTCTACATCTTTAATAGACATGTTTTTCATATGTACAATAACTAACCATGGTTACAATTTCTACTTAAAGTAGTACAATGAAAGTTGGATGGCAGTGAAACCTTACTACATAAATACCAATAAAAACTTGACTATAAACTACACTACAATATCTCTAAAGGTATATTTTCTTACCCATTTTCTAAGGCAATGCCCTCACAATCAACTCCAGAAGCTACAACAATCAAATATGCTGGTAGCCATTCAAATTCTGATAAGTCAGTAATTTCTGTGTCATTTGACAAATTAATTACACCTACAATTGCTGGGTTATCCGGAAGCATTCTGTTGAAAATAAGTCATTATGCGCTTTCATTATAAAAAAGTATATAATGGCACTAAATGTTGCTAGCAGTTAGAATTGTTAGACACAATCATTTGGCGTGAAATTGTATGGCAATTACATATGCTCACATTTCGTCATGGAACCATTCGGAACAAATTATGTAGTTAAATAATAATAATATTAGAATAAACATATTTACAAAAACATTGCCTACCTTCCCACAACTAGAGTTGAATTTGACATAGCTTTGATATCTAAACGCCCTTTGCGTACTACATCTTTCTTTCTGATTGTCACCACGTCTTTATAGAACTGAAATTTATTTAATTTTAGTGCACATGTTTCAATACTATACATAATAAAATAAAGTAAATGGTAGGTTTAGCAATTCGGATTAAAAAAGCTACACTATTATTTTCCCTAAGTTAAGAGGTAATCAATCAATCTAGTAAATATTTTTTTGCTTAAATTATGATTTTTTTTGAAGTTATACTTCTTTTGGCGCGTTAGGGAAAAACGATGAGAGTAAATTTTTACGATGCGGGCGCACACCGTCACAAAAAACCGACACCATGAATATCTGTTTAAATGTCTCGTCGGTAAAACAGTCTAGGCCGCTAGTTGGCGTTTGCTCTGTTTTATCGATAAGTTGCATTGTCTGTCATGGCATAGTGTTTTTCAGAGTCGTGTTTATTTAAACTAATTATTTTAGTATTAAGTTAAGTTAAGTAGTAAAGATTTCTATACGAGAAAACCCGTTCCAATGTGATAAAAAACATAGTGTTTTTGTAAAATATCATGATTCGTAGATATTGTATCGTTTCGAATGGAAGTGACCATTAAAATGTACAAGAAAAATGCAATCCGAAGAGGGAAACGTCCCTCTAAAGTGCTCGAAGAAAATTATTACGCCAAAGAAGTATAACTTCTAACGCGTGTACATAAGTACACACACGTTTTTTAATAAAGGAGAAGATTTATAAAGACTTCTTCGAATAAAATAAATAGTAGTATCAGTCTTTAAATAACTATACTTACTACTAATTATTTTTAAGATTACAAATTAAAAGTGCCTTAATATTTAGGTATTAAAATTATTTTATATTATTTCTTATTTATTTTATAATTGGTACATTGAGCATGCTTATGCTTATGCATACTTACCTGATAATGACTTTTATTTGCCTTCATCTGTGCATCTAAATTCACATCTTTATAATTATCAGCAACGGGCAACCATGTTTTACCATCTGTAGTAGAAAACCCAGCATTGGGACTGTCGTCCCAGTGGTATGGAGTTCTGCTTGGATCACGTGAATTTTTCCAGTAGTTGATAGGATCGTCAGTATTGCATGCTTGTGGATCCTGTGTTTCTTCCCACGTTATAAAACCATCTGTCATACCTAATTCTTCTCCCTGTGAATATTTTTTGTTTATTCAAGGTCTGCCTACGTATATTAACAATAATAACCCACCATGGGTCTTGTTTGGGATTCAACTGTTAGCATTTGTTTTAAAGACACAGACAATTAGGTGATCAGCCCTCTCTACCTATCATAAGATTCCGACACTAAACTAACATGACTTTAAATATTTGGCTTATGCTGTCCGTAAAATAGAAACTAATCTTCTACTATAGTCAGGAGGCCACTATCGTGGTTACTCAGAACAGATCTCGTTCAGATTATTTTATGTTGTTTACCTGATAGGTAAATGCCACCCCGGGAAGTAGCAGTGTCAGCATATTCATTGCGTCTACTCTGTCAACGCCTACACGAGTGGCTAATCGAGTTCGATCATGGTTTCCATTCTGTAAAAAAATACATAAAAGAATATGGAATTCAACATAAAACAACAATATGAAAAAATTAGTTTTGATTATAACCCAGTATAATATATAATAAAATTTCTTCAAATCTTGCTGATTATTAAATTTTTTAGCTGTATCTAGTTGTTGATCAAAATCGATTAATTCTATATGTTTTGTTTAATTTCCAGGTAAAAACCACGCACAAATACTCTGCATAACTTTTCTGTTAATATAACAGAACATACCACCCAGTTAGCAGTACTTCCCACCGGCATATTCTCCATCCATTTATCAATAATTCGTTTAATAGCTACCGCATCAGAATCGTTACGAATATTCTCCAAAAGAGAAAAGTTAAAAGGAATAGAACCGTTCCTTTTTCCGTCCCCGTAATATCTCATTATATGTTCTAGGTCTGTGTAGGCTTCGGTTCTTCGGTTCGGCTTCTTTTATCGTGTATTCGTCGAGAACTTCACGCCAATCGTATATAACTGAGTATGTCTCGTCTTGATCCTTTGTGTATATGTGATTAAGATAATTATAGTCGTTTTCTACGGCAATCGAATCTCCTAAAAATTACGGGACATGTAAATAATAACTCTCCCCTGAACTGAAACGTATTATAATATATTATTTCACAGCAACATCAGGAAACTCGTGACGGGCGAAATGATTTTATTATTATGAATTGGAACATTATTTGTCTTACATTAATGTATATATATCGAGATCTATATATATCGAGAGTGATATATATATATATATATATCACTTGATCTCTAAGAAGAACTAAGAACTATCCGTTGCTAACTGTAACAAACTATACCAGATCTTGGTTCATCGGGATATCGTCCACAAAATTTTTTGGGGTCAGCTTCGTACATCCTGTTAACAGCATCAATTCGGTAACCCGATATACCTCGATCCAGCCAAAACCTTAGGACATCCTGAAATCAATTTAATCATTACTAAACTTACTTAACAAGACAATTCAATTACTTAAATAAGTGATGTCCTGCCATGCAAAAATGCATGTAATAAATTAACAACATTATATAGAAAATCCTTTCACTTTATGTTTAACTGTGAATATACTATAGGTAGGTATAATCAATCTCATATCTAAACTAATATACTAAAGAGTAAAGAATTGTATGCTGATTAAAGCAATTATGCTGATTAAATTTTATAAGTGGGTGTTGAAAAATAACAAAATAAAGAAACTTAGTAGAAAATATAATTATTAAATCCTATTATAGGTTCACATCGTTGACACTTCATTCATTCCGCTGATATGACGCGGACAGCAAGAGACATTGCCATTATAGAGATAACATTTACCTTCATTTCTTCCTGAACCCTTTTATTTCTGTAGTTGAGGTCAGGTTGTCCTATCACAAATTGGTGTAAGTAGAACTGTCCACGCTCGACGCTGTATTCCCATGCACTTTTACGAAATTCACTGAGCTATAAAAATATACTTGTAAATATGTAAGCAATGAGAAATATATGTTTTAGTCTTTATACGACAAAAAAAATCGCAAAAAGCCTCGCTTACTTATCTAAATGCGTCTCTAAGTATTAATTAACTGACTTCACCTCAACCGACGGGATCATCGGCAGATTTATTATTCCAAATTATCTATAGGTATACCAATTGTTACTTATGCATATTACTTATTATTGTATATATATAATATATTATTATTGTATATATATATTTACAATAATTAAAGACGGAGAGGAAATATATTTAGTTGCCCATTCGTTTATACTTTACCCAATTACTGGGAGGCTGAGTTTCTCCCACTGTGCAGGTATTAATGCCATCTGCCCATACATAATAGTCCGAATACTCAGGGTCTCCCTTTTTAGACTTTATGAACCACTCGCTCTCATTGCTCGTATGATTTGGTACAAGGTCTAGGAGTACACGAAGTCCTGTAATTGTAATGATGTTTTATAATTGTAGTAGGCATAATATGCGTTAGTTTAATATAAGTTCTTATGACAACCCTCTATCAAAATATATTAGATCGGTTTAGCTGTCTATAAAACAGTCAGCGAAATTACAAAAACTAGACAATTTTGTTATTTTATTGTTGTTATTGTTAAATTATAACAATACGACTTGTAAATTAGTGAACTTTTACCTATTTTCATCATTAATGTTAATCATTTCAACTTAATTGTGTTTATTATTAAATGTACTTTAAATATGGAATTGTAGAAACAAACAAAAAAAAACAAATTTCCCATTTTGGATAATAAAAAAAATTAATGTAACGTAAATTGTATCGACGGACGCGGACGCCCATGATTTTCATCTGAGTAAATTCTCCACGTTATATTAATTATTTCACCTATACTTATATTTTATATGTATTTAATACTTCACTCAGTTATAAGTTACAACCGTTGTTATCGATACAATTCAGCTGAATTGTACCCTTATAACTTATACATATAACTACTGGATAACAATTGATTTACTAGATTTTAAACTGTTAACAGTGTTACCTAATCCTTTAGCTTTTGCAAGCAGGGTCTCAAAGTCTTCCATAGTACCGAACTCTGGTGAAATCTGTCTGTAGTCGGAGATATCATAACCAGCATCATACATTGGGGAAAGGAAAATCGGCGACAGCCATATTGCGTCAATACCAGTTTCTTGGAGATACGGCAATTTTTCTGTTATACCTGGAATATTTTACGTGGTGGTCGGTGTATCGTATGGAGATAAATTACTAAGATGGCAGCGGACTTTTCGTATACAGCTTCTTCATCAATGTTAAAGTTAAATCATTCGAATTTTGAGGACCGCTTCATAGATCTGTTGCGGTAATTTTAATAACATGATTTTAATTTTAATAAGGAACAATAGGTTTAATACCAACTTGCTTAAAATGGGCACATAACAGGACTAGTTTCTTACCATTTAGATCACCCGTTCCGTCTCCATTGCTGTCCTTAAAAGACCTTGGATAAATCTGATAGATCAGAGCCGATTTCCACCACTCAAGATCCACAGCCGACGCCTCGGCTATGATTAAAATCAAAAGCAACCTCATAGCAGTAAGTTTCAAGCAAAACTATGAATAGGAAGTTTATTTTTCAATGGTTTTATATGATCTCATAGATAAACTTTCCAATTACACTTAAACATATGTTTTATTATCTGATAGATAATTAATCATAGGTAGCCATTGTATTTTTAAAATATATTAATTTATATATATAAAGTAAAAATAATATGCATATAGTTAATAAACCTGCCTGAGGCTTGACGCCGTTGGGGTTCAAAGTTACTACGGACAGTGATCGAACCTTGACCCTGGACGTGGTAGTAGCTATTGCGGTGTGTTGAAAGCAAATTGCCGCACTACGACGGTCTAGGGTGCCAACGATTAGAGTAAACATCGAAATGGAAAAACCCACATGTGTTAAGAAAAGTCAAAATAAAATTTGTAAAATGGTAACGTAACTTTCAAGATCGATTTTTATATTGTATTTTCATCATCATGTTATGTAAATTAATCCATATTTTTGTCTACATATCGCTTCCTAAGTAATACAAGGGCCTAACTCGAATATTTGGTTACAGCCGTTTAGGATTCTACAGAAAAATTCGTATATTTCTACATACAAAATGTAGTTAATATGTAATAGATTCTTATATTGCGGAAAACTGCTTTCAGTAGCAGTGCAGTACAATATTTGACTTATTTTTCCTTACAATTGCCTGGATGAGATCGCTCGAAAGCGATAAGACCGCCCGTTGTCTTCATTATGAAAATTAGGTTTGATTAGTTGATTTCAATTTAGGTATTTTGTAAGAGTATCAACGCTTACTAATTATAGATCAATATTTGTTTTCCAGAGTAAGGCTGTTGCAGAGTAATTCATAGATCTTTAGACCTTGTAATCAAAACTTTTATTTTGAATTTAACCAAAGTTTGCACCTAGTACTAATTACACTATATACAGGCCAAGGATATAAAAAATAAACCAATGCTGTCAAAACTTTATTTCATTCTAAAAAACAAAAATACAACTTTTGTACTCTCAGTTATTTATAAACGTACTAAAAGCCAAGTCCTGCTTTTGTTCTTTCAATCCAGACACGTGAGCAAAGCAATAACAAGATAAGCGTGTAGTACGTTTGTGAACAAGGATACCACAAAAAAATATAAAATAGCGAGTCGCATTTATTGTACTAAGCTTGTCTAATGTAAAACAAAAGAAACGTCTTAGATTGCCCAGTCTGACAATATACACGCTTTCCGTTTGACCAATCACAGACAAACGAACCGCGTTTAATTGACCATGCGATTCACAGAGTATTAAACCCATATACGTAAATGTCAAATTGTAATAAATTGTTTAATTTTTTTCAGACTTTTTTTTGAGGTACGCACATTTATAAAACACGGGTTTCACTAATAACATAACTAAAGAATTTCTTTTAAAGCATCTATCTGGTTAAACTTAAACATTTAATACTCTGTCGAATTCATGGTCCCATAAAAGCCTCAATAAGTTAAAGATTGTGGCAGTGATTTAATGTATATAATAACGACTGACAATTCTCTTGTACTTATTATTATACATTTATTTTAAGTTCACATACATTGTACTGTGAAATATCGATTTAAATATTTTTTTACATTTACTTGAATCGAATTTGATTTTGTACGATTAACATCTTAGTAGAGTACTTATAAAATTGATACACTTATTATGTCCATTTTATATCCCTATATTAATTTTACTAGGGCATAGACATCAAGATACTTCAACTAATTTCCTTAAATATTATTATTCACGTTTGAGCAAGGTCCTCTAAGAAGATTTACCACAGACATGAGATCAGCTGACAGCTGTTTGAAGATCTGTGGGAATGACAGCTAACATTTGGTCACGTGACCCTCGTACAAATTCAATTATCAATAGTGAACATGCCTGTCACAAATTACCGTTGGCTAAAAAGTTTAGGGCCAACATTACAAAAGTATGTGAATCTAGATGAAGACAGCCCTTGATCAAATTATAACCCTTATTTAGAAAATATTTCTTTATTATTTTATTCAATACATATTATGACATTATTACAAGACGGCTATTTTTCACCCTCTTAAACTCACACAACATCAGCTATTTTCTAAGACACTAAGGAACTATTTATAGTCATATCGACACGTCAATAATAAAATATACAATTTCTTAAAATATAAATTATAAAAATATGCAACACATTGACAAGATTTGAAATTTGACTTGAACGTACATAAACGTAATTAATACATTACCGTTATTTATCTTGATTTTGAGTAGTACAGAATTCGATTGTGAAATCTGTTACATAGAATGATAATAATTTTCCGGATATAATCATTTTGTACATTGAACGTTTCAGCCTATACATTAAACATCATAAATATGGCGTGAATGCCATAAAAAATATCGCATTTAATTTAAAATTATTAAAAACCCGACTCAAATTTGATATAAATTCATAAAATAAGGTATAAAAAATATTCACGTTCAAATATATTCGTGATATTATACAAGAACGCGTCAAGTCTTGAATGTCACTTGTCACAATGACATTGACATAATTCACATATCCAAAATATAATTTTTATAGTTTTAAAAGTTAGTTAATATGTCGAGTCACATGTTTAATCTTATTATAATGTACGTTTAAATCGATCGAATTTGACAACTGACAGTTGACATATTCAGTCAAACTGAAAAGGAAGATTGGCCGCTATTCTGGGTTTCCTCTTTTTGGTCCTATTCGTTGGAGGTTGATTATTCTGTGGTACCTAAAAATTGAACACAAAAATTACAGAACCGCAAATACACGAAATGGTTATATCATTTGATATTCCGTGGGGTTCGAACTCGTGCGCATGTGATAAACGCGTTCATCCACGTGTTGAGTAAAATTTTTATAATTTTTTATTAGGGTAATGAAACAATTAGTACTAATAAAAAAATTGCTTGGTTTCATATATGGACATTCAACGCGATCTTTTTTCTCTTCGTTTCTTCTCTCCGGTTCTTTAAAAAAAAAAACAGTTCGAAAAGGATTGAACCCTGATCATGCCTTTAAAATATACAGATTACAAATGCAATCAGTATCAGGAATACCAAGGAATTATCCAGAAAATTAAAGAACAAGAATGTGGGTAGACGTTAAAAAAACAGAAGCGTAATTTACCTGAGCCACGACAGGCTGAGGCTTGGGTAGCAAAGATTGTGTTGGTGGCTGACTCTCCATGTTACGAGGAGGCTGGTTCACATTGTTGGCTCGTCTGTGGGGTAAAACATGTCAATTGTCAAATTTCTAAACTTTACGGTTATGTCGTCAATGACGCTGTGTTTAGCTTTTTTTTGTTTTCCATTTATACTCTGATTTTTAATTCCTTAGAATTCTGACAGCTATCATTTTTTGACATGCCAGTGGTGGCAAACCTTTTTGGCCGGGCACATTTTTCAATTTCAATACGAGTCTGAACATCTGAGTCTATACATACATTTTATTGTTAGTTAATGTACCCACTTTATTAAGTGCGGTGCTACACATTAAAAGTGCTTTAACGGCGAGTGGTAATAACGTTCCTTTTCTTCACTTACAGTAAAAAAACGCACAAGTAAAGATAACATTTTTTTAAAGGTTTACTAAACCTGTAATTAGTGGGCAGTGATGTCAGCTAAAGAATAAATAAAGTAATTAAAGTTAATTCGATATATCTTTCGTGATATTGAAATATTTGTAACCTTTGTATTAGGTCACATGAGTAAGTAAATATTTAGATTTACCTTTTTGTGGGTAAAACATAAAAAATACGTAGCAGAGAGAGATCATCAATAAAAAATATATTTTAATTAAAAAAAAACTATTGAAATATTTTAAATAAGTACACAAAGTAAACAAGGTGAAGTGTTTACAATAAATACTTAATTTCTAGTGTTTAATCTTTTCATTATTAATACTACCGTCGTTCGATAGTGCACTTCAGTTATTCAGTCACATACAAGAAGCTATCCACAACTTGCTTAAAACAATACTTATTTATACATCTAATTCCGCCGTTGTAGCTAAAGATATCTATCTCTTTTCATCACAGGGTAAACACAATTTGAGAGAAGACGAATGTGGACCATAAAGTGTCGAGGTATTTATGAATAAGGCAGAATGTTTAAAAATACTTAACAATTTATATATACAGAAGTCAAATCAATATATAAAATATTAAACGGAACAAGATAAAAATCTTTTCAAAAATTTTATTCTACGTTTGTAGAAAAAACGACACTAACAATAGAAAAAACTAAAATGTTGACGTCAGGGTGTCGGTTTTTTGTGACGATGTGCGCGCGCATTGTAAAAATTTACTCACATCATTTTCCCTAACGCGCCAAAACAAGTATAACTTCAAAAGGTTTGAGCATAGGAATATATGTATGTATAATGTGTATGTTTTCCTAACTGTTATTTTTTCGTATCAAATAAAAATTGCGTCAGTCAAATATATCATAGCTAAACTTGAAACTAGTTTTGAGTATGAATGGACCTTAAACTGAATATTTATAATATAAATTCCATAACTTACCTTTGACTAGTCTGCACTTGTAAAGGCACGAATGGGTTATTCACGCCCTGGTTCGTCCGTGATTGGTTGGATTGGCTGGATTTGCTGTTTGATGGGTTTTCATTGGCTTGGTTAGACTGGAATGGCGCTGGAGAGTTCTGGAAATAAATAAAAATTTAAAACAAAATATTACACTTACATTAATTTTACTTGTTTAAATCATGTAGATATAAACACGTACCACCCGTGTACTTAGGGGGGTTCTAGGTTCGATTGCCGACGAAAAAAATATTGTAATTCATCAGAAATAGAAATGATTCCCGTAGTTTAGAAAATTTACCTGCGTCCAGCTGGGAAGTAAATTGCTCACGCTGGGCAAATGTTTTGGGAAATTGTTCCTGGGACGATACTGCGGAGGCGGATATTGTGGGGCAAAAGGTACGAATGGAGGTGCTTGTGGTTGATTCTGAAAAAAAAATAGATTTTAGTGTGTAGCTGTAGGACGCATTTGATAACTCTGTTACCAAAGCAGTTTTGGTTCATTGCTTAAACGTGTGACTTCTTGGAGTAGTGCGTTTAAATCCTGGCATTCTTTCTAACTACGAATTTACCAATTACTCGTTCTATGAAGGTACAGTGGTTTGGAGCTCCACACAAATATTTTGTAAAAAAAACTAGACGATTTGTAAATTCAAAGCCGGCAACGCACTCGCGAGCCCTCTGGCATTGAGAGTATTCATGGGCGGTATCAGTTAACACAGAGCGTCCGGTTTCAAAATAGTGACGGACCCAGCGTTTAAATAAATAAAGAGTGTATATATGTAAATTAATTAATATTTGTATTTGTGTTATATATATGCGAAAATAGCTTACAAAAAGAGGAGAAATATTTTGGTAGAAATTTTTATAAAGAAAGTGGCGCTACAACCATTTTAGGTCTGGGCCTCATTCTATATCTGTTTTATGATCATTGTCAATCTTATATGCTAGTAGGCGATCAGCCTCCTGTACCTGGCACACGCCTTCGACTTTGGTCTAAGGCGGGGGGTTTCGTCACGATATTTTCCTTCACCGTTCGATCGAATGTTAAATTAAAATCATTATCAGCCAGTAATCCTTATCTATTCCTTTTGAGACATTCTGATTGTGCTTGAACGCGCTATCTCGAGATCGACTTCTAATTGAGATTGCATTGAATCCTTTTTGTGCTGAATAGTTCATTTAATGAGACTGTGTGATTTTGACATCTTTTTCATATGTTTTTCTGTTCACGAACAACTCTTTATCTGTTTATATTCCATTTTAAATAATTTAGTGTTTTTTTTACAAATATAAATAAAATAATGCTTTATTTATTACAAACAAAAATATATTTAATTATTAGCGACCAACGGTAGCTGCAACCCTGAGCGGTAATCCTTCAAAAACGTACATGTATGTATGTATGTATATGTAGTGTTGTAAATTTCGTGCAGTACTTTTCGAGTTTATCCCCAACAGATAGATATATCGACACATATAAGGTATATAGCACATGACCTGTACAAAAAACGTGACTTTTAATAGATCGAGATATTATCCGCAACAACCTCACAAAAAACCTCTTTAGTTAGTATAGATAGACCTTACCTTGTAATAATTAGAGTTGGAATTCACCCAATCGCTTTGAGGTACTGGGGGTCGGTACTCGGTGTCCTTTCTCCAATTTTGTGGCTGAGTTCTGTAGAATAGAGGTCAGCGATCAATTTTTTTTAATAATTGCAGGTATCATATATATAGATATATACACACACCGACGACGATATATATATATCTTATATATATATATAATTCGCGTGTCGCGGTGTTTGTGGTTAAACTCCTCCGAAACGGCTCGACCGATTCTCATCAAATTTTGTGTGCATATTGGGTACGTCTGAGAATCGGACAACATCTATTTTTCATCCCCCTAAATGTTAAGGGTAGTCCACCCCTAATTTTTTTTTTTAATTTTAGATAAAAATTTATTCTTTATTTCTTTTATGACACAGCATTAAAAAATACGTACATGACGTTTGCCGGATCAGCTTGTATATATAAAAATTTGATCGCTGATCTCTATTCTACAGAACTCAGCAAATATTTAATTTATTTAATTGTATATCATTATTATATTATCATAATCAGTGGCGCAACAACCTTTTTTAGGTCTGGGCTTCAGATGTCTGTATTTCATGATGATTTATCAATCTAATAGGTAAGTAGGTGTTCAGCCTCCTGCCTGACACACGCCGTCGACTTTCGGCGTTCGGGTCTAAGGAAAGCCGGTTTCCTCACGATGTTTTCCTTCACCGCTTGAGCGAATGTTAAATACATAGACAGAAACTCCATTGGTGCACAGCCGAGGATCGAACCTTCGACCTCAGGGATGAGAGTCGCTGAGGCCAGTAGACCAACTCTGCTCTTCTGATCTCATTTTTAAGTTGAATAAACATTTTAGATTTAGTAAATTCGCTTGTTTTAGCAACAGTAATACCATAGGTTTTACAATTTTTATTCTGTGTACAACCATCCTATACTCTATGACTGAATATTCTATAGTATATATAGTCTGTGACTGTGACCATACATAGCAATAAAAATAAACAAAGATTTTATTTTATTTTAACAAATGTTTGCTCCATGGATTTTTAATAAGCAAGCTATATTATCTGAATCTTCAAAATTTGACTTTTGCAGACTTGTCATATGACAGATACAATTTTAAATTACCATAGTTTCATTGTTATATGTTTCCTGTACACATGTTTAACATAGCAACAAAGATGACCTCTAGAGCACATTATATTCCGAGTATTACATACTTATATATACAACATTCATAGCATTCTACTTAGATTTTACCATAAAACAAATATATATATTAGATTTTTATTAATCTAGTTAAACCGATTCGAAAAATAGTTAAAAATCAAATAGTGTTATTTTCACTAATATGTAATGTTAGTTTTCTTACCCAGACAAAAAATTCCAAAAGGGATGTGCAGTGCTGCATGTAATGAATTTAACACATTCTTTTTTACTGTGTTTATGACAATTTTGCGATGATTTAATTATACAAATTTTTAAATCAAATACTTAAAAAAACAATTTGTATTAGTTCCATAGTCACCAATAATCTGTTTTTTTTTTAATCTTGTCAAAAGACATTGTAGTTTTTTACAGATAGTTAAAGGAGACTTATAAATAAAGTTTATTTTGTTTTATAATCAAGCAATTGTACTAATAACTTTAATTTTAATTTGTATTTATTATTGTTAATTTAAACTTACTTCGCTTGTGGTATTATCGGTTGTTTGTCCTTACTTCTCCAATTTGAGTTCACTTCGTCCTTGTTCTGAAAATAATTGAAGTGAAACTTCTTTAGAATCGCGAGTTCAAACCGGATGTAACGGAAAATGCGACAGTAAAAAAAGACAGACACATAAATGTATAATATTTAACATAGGAGAAAATAAGATGGCAAGCTTTATACAGTGTATAAACTTTAAATAAGTGTGTATTTGATCATTTTCTGAATTAGATGTGCAAACAATTAAATAAGTCAAGTAAGAAGTTCAATTATAAGTTACCAAATTAAATATTGATATTAAAATTATAAATTAAAATATATATTTTTTTAAAGAAAAGATCAATTAATAATTTTTTTTACATTTAAATAATGAAAAAAGTCTAATTTACAAATCGTCGCTGTAGAATGATAACCTCGTATGTCCGGAGAACCAAACATTTCAGGAAACGAAAAATGTTTCATATCGTCAATGTTTGTTAAAATATTATTATGTGTTTTTGTCAAAATGTGAGCCGTCACGGGACGCCTGGCAGATGTGAAAAATCACATTATTTTGTAAAAGTAATATGCAGAAAAGAACAGATTGTGATAGGAACTAAATATGTCATAATGATAAAATAAAATATTACGATTTTTTTCCAGATAACTACGACTATTTATTGAATAAACATTTATTTTCATTAAATACAAAAATTTACGAATTTATTTCAAATCGTGACTACTTAATTCGTTTAATCAGTGACTTCGAAATACATACACCGTACACACTATGCAGTGCAGTGTGTACGGTGTCACTGTCACGTCGCCACGCCAGAAATACATTTTACGTTTCACATCAATAAATGGTTTTTTGACATACGAGGTTATCATTCTACAGTGACGAAATTATTAATTATAAATACTTTGTTTTTGAAGCTTTCACTTCTACCACGAGTGAATTGCATTGTTTTTTTAATTAAAAGAATGTTACAGATTTAGTTTTTATAAGTAATTCATATTATATATTTTGTAATATACCTTATTCTGTTTTGTCTGGTCCGTTGCATTTTCACTTATTTTCAGAAGACTTCTCAAGAGTGTCGTCGGGTCTTCCTGTAAACATTGTATTCCCTTTAATCCGAATTAAGTTATTAGAATTATGCAGTAAGGGAGCGTTCAAGTATTACGTCACGCAATTTTTGGAGATTATTGACCCCCCCATGTATCGCGCCGTAACGTTTTTCTAGACCTAATAATAAAACGTTTCGTGACCACCCAGTGACTCTTTATACCTGAAAGGTACCATTATGTGGCGTAAAGTACTGGAAAGTCGAAAATAATATTAACAATAAAGCGTAATTAAATCCCCGCCCCGCATCGCAACGTTTTACAAAGGGACTCCCCCCCAAATTCGTTACGTAATACTTGAATGCCAACTTGGGGTTTTTCCCCTGGAGGATTTTAGGGGGTACTTTATTCAAGATTTTTCCTTCTTCCGCACAGTTTGGTTTTTTACAATTCATATTAAGCCCAACAAACATCAAAATCATCAAAGATAGAAATTTTATACTACTTGAATGTATTTAGATGCATATTTCGAATGACCTCTCAAACCGAGTGTACAACAAAAACCTTTTTAGGTCTGGGCCTCAGATTTCTGTATCTGTTTCATGATTATTTGCCAATCTATTTAGGCAAGTAGGTGATCAGACTCCTGTGCCTGACACACGCCGTCGACTTTTTGGGTCTAAGGCGAGCCGATTTCTTCACAATGTTTTCCTTCACGAATGCTAGCTAATGTTCAATGCGCATAAAAAAAGTCCATTGGTACACAGCCGGGGATCGAACCTATGATCTGAGCTACCGACTGAAGGTAAAAACTAAGGTATCATAATATATTTCATTAGATATACCTTATGTCCGCCATTAGTTGCCTCTGGTGTTTTTGCCTCTGGTGTTTTTGCCTCTGGTATTTTTGCCTCCGGAGTAGCTGGTTTCATCTCCCACGGGGGACTACAAATTAAATAAAAAAAATTGTTTTGAAAAACATAAAAAAATTATTAGTATAAGTATGTTGGTATATTAGGCTTCTAAAGTGCTAAAGTTCTAAAATGTTTGTCCACTTGAAAATTAATGTAATTTCGTATGTTCTAACTGAGGGAGTAGTCCGAGTTTTATCAAATTCGTTTCAGTAGTTTTTGATATTTTCTTTTGATAACATGTCACAATAGACGATGATAAAAGGTATTTCAAGTCAGTTTAATTTATGTAAATTATTTTTATACCCGACTCAAACTTTAAAAAAACTTTTTTGAAAATAAATGACGTCACGTCAATAGAAATATTGCAATAAATTACATCGTTTCGACATTGAGATGCATGACGTCACAAGCTGTAGGAATGACGTCACGTGTCACATAAAAACATATGATGACGTCACAAGAGGCTCATTTCCATTATAGAAGGTTATTGATCGATTAACAACTCTATTGTTTATGGTATGTAAATATGAAGTAATTGTATGCAATATGGCTGCTAATTAAAAAATGATATTTGTAGAACACGGGGCAAACGGGGCTACTCTGATGTTATATTAAACCATCACCTATGGTATTACTTTTATACGGTCACATGCCCACGGACACGTCAAAAGGCTCGCGAGTGTGTTGTTGGTCTTTTATAAATTGTTACCCTCTTGTCTTGAAGGACCCTTGTGCATGTGTAGATTTTTTTTACGCCAGGATTGCCCTTACATGGTTCATTGCAATGTACAGCATGTGGCCTTTTTAATTATATGACTGAATATACTTTAAAGCTACTAATATAATATTTGGGACAATATTGTAACCATATAGACTTATGATTGACTGCTTAAATTATTATTATTATACCCTGATTTTTAATTCCGACATTTCATAAGTGTTGCTACTAAAAAGGAACTAATTTGACTTATTTGAGGGCAATAAAAAAAATGCTACGTATTTTTTATGTTACAAAAAAGTTAATCTAAATATGTATTTACTTACTCAAGTGACCTTATGCAAAAATAACAAATTGTATTTCAATATCACGAACAATATATCGAATCAACTTTAATTACTTTATTTTACTATTTGGCTTATTAACTCCAGGTTTAGTAAACCTTTAAAAAAAATGTTATCTTTCCTGGTACGTTTTTTACTGTTTGTGATGAAAAGGACGTAATTATCACTCGCCGTTAAACCACTTTTAATGTGGAGCACCGCACTTAATAAAATGGATACATTCACTAACAAATGACATGATTGTATAGACACGTATTGAAATTGAAAAATGTACCCGACCAAAAAGGTTTGCCATCTCTGACATGTCGAAAAATGATAGCTGTCAGAATTCTACGTAATTAAAAATCAGAGTATAGTCGTATTGGTTCGGAAAGAACGGCAAATGCAAACCTATAACTGGCGAACGCGGAGTGGTGTGTGTTGTCCCTGCGAAGAATAGCGGGCGGTTGTGTGAAGCCCCACGAATTTGTATCTTCGTTGTTGTCCGTTTGTATATTTCGGATTTGACGCCCGTAGGATATATTTAACATGTTCGTTGGTAGCATTCTGGAAAAAAATGTATTCAGTAAATTAATTAAATATTATATATTAAGATTAAATTTTGTATCCTATGCGTCGCCGGCCTTAAAGAAACGCTCCATTTTCAAGAAGAGAGGTCGTATGAAATAAATTGCAGAAACATAATTTTAATAATGGAATGGATATATGAATTCATCATACAACGCTACAACCTTTTTAGGTTTGGGCCTCAGATTTCTGTATCTGTTTCGTGATCATTTGTTAATCTAATAGGCAAGTAGGTGATCAGCCTCCATTGCCAGACACACGCCGTCGACTTTTTGGGTCTAAGACATGTCGGTTTCCTCACGATGTTTTCCTTCACCGTTCGAGCAAATGTTAAATGCACATAGAAAGTCCATTGGTGCACAGCCGGGGATCGAACGACCTCAGGGATGAGAGTCGCACGCTGAAACCACTAGGCCAACACTCATACTATGTATATCACTCACCTATAAAATCTGGATTCTTCAAATAGATCTTCAGACATCGCGCCTGCAAAGGGTTCGTCGAACATCACCTGAGAAGTGGTACATTTAGATCGATTTCTTATAAAAACGCACAATCAGCCATATAAAAATAGGCAGCAAATGTTATATTAATTTTCAAAGTGTCATATAATAAGAACATTAACATCTAATAATAAGTGTTGTTTGATGATTTGCTATTTTAAAAGAGTACCGAGAGTTTTTTACGCCGGCTTTTTCTCTCGGCCTACACCCTCTATCTTCTTTGCCGATGAGTAGGGTTGTCTACCAATCAAATTTAATGACGTGAAATAAGTGATACCTGTATCTTATATTCCATAATAAACATATTTTATTTTTTTATATAAAATCCTCGTGTCACAATGTTCGTTCCCATACTCCTCCGAAACGGGGTGTGCATCCCAAAATTTTATTTTTTATTTTTTAGACAATTTTTTTTGTTTATGATACAAAATAAAATAAAAAAATAAATCAGTGGCGCTACAACCTCTTTAGGTCTTGGCCTCAGATTCTGAAACTGTGTCACGAATTTTTTTTTTAATCATATGGTTTTTTGTTTATGATACAGCATACAAAAATACATACGACCCCTAATTTTCACCCCTCTACGATCAACCCCTATTTTTTATTATAGTAGATAGTTATTTTTATTGAACTAAAAAAATGTTTCCTAGAAATAATATACATGGCAAAAGAACGTTTGCCGGGTCAGCTAGTAATCTCCTAATAATAAGTTGAGTTGTTTATAATTGTTATACTTATGGTCGCGACTTGCTCACGCTATAAAGGCACTTACATTTATAATTTTTATCACCTTCCCCTTGAAAGCATTACACGGCAGTGATCTATAACTATAATATACAATTCGGAAGCAATTAAATTTTCCCCTCTTCGTATTTAATTCGACGTTTTTTTTTGTTAGAACATTATAATAGGATAAAAGTTGTTTTCAAGTAAACTACCAAACTCTATATGTGGTTTCTTAAAATACATATTTCAGCAACACGTTTGAGTTTCATTCATCAAATGCATATATATTTTTTGCTCTTTATACATTTTGACGATAAAGTGGACACAAAAAGACTTTTTCTATAGGATTATAAAAAAAATAAAAAAATTGCGTGTACTAGGTGTACACACGTAAGAAGTGAAACTTCTTTATGATCTTATTTTTCGAAAAATGATCTACTATATGCAACTTTACAGAAATTCGTTAAATTAGATAAAGTTTAACAAAAGGCTTTTATTATCATAGACATGAATACAAATATTTCATTTTACCTTATTACTACGAAGATTATTATAGAATTTCTTTAATTGTAATATAATTATTACTATCATTGAAAAACGTGACGATTTGCTACAAAATTTCTCCCATACGTCGATAAAGAAGTTTCATTCCAACGCCGATAAAGAAGTTTGACTTCAAAAAGCAACATGACGCGTAACGAAAAAATGTTACACTAAATTTTTTTCCAACCTCGATAAAGAAGTTTCACTTCAATAAGTTTCAAAATATACAAACCTGATACGTAGGTTGAGCGTTCATTTTATCCGATAACCGCACAGTATTGCCATCAGTTGGTTGATAAATCGCCGTCACTGTGCCTTTAGCCCCAAGCGGCACAGTTATATTACGGGCAACGCATACTATGCGGTCGTACATTTTGTAGTCAGCATGTGAATCCGGCGCAATGTTGCCCTCGTGCAATTCCGGCTTTAAAATAATTAATATATCACCTTCATGTTTTTACTATATGTTATAGTGAAATATAGTTTTTCTGCCTTGTAACACTGAAATCTCATCAGCCATATCGACACTTAAATTATTTTTTTAAACGTTACAAAAGTGATGTACCGCTTAAAATAATGATAAGGTTAAGTGACCTTAATCATATGCATATTATTATGGTCACTTAAAATATGTAGTATAAATCAATCTGGCTCGAAGGACCATTTTCGTTTGGATTCACAACTAAGGGTAACGTAACCCGTGATAGGCATATGATAGTTTTAAATAGACTAATTTTATTCTGCTTTTGTTAATTCCTAGCCGAAAAACTAATTTTTATTAATTTGTTATTAAATCCCAAAAAGCCAACCCTTTTACGACCACAAATAGTAGTTTAACCTAGCCAAAGCTTGGCTGGATTTTTGTTTATATGGGAAATAAACACTTGTTCGTACGGAGAACGTAAACATCGTATGGAAAATATAATTTCTAAAATGGACAAGGAAAGATAAGGCCGATTGCCTACGTGTCCATAAAAGAAAAACCAAAGAATCAGATGCAATCAGGATGATATGATATAGAGTATTAACATTCTATACGTACCTACGGCTCGCCTATGTGCTAGTTTTTTAGTTTAGGAAATTGTAATTTTTTATCTTTTTAGTTTTTATATTGTGTTTTTGTTTGTTTTAATTTTTTCCTTTAATAGATTACTTTTTAATATTATTGATGTGAATGTGTAAGTGTGTTAAATTTGTGATGTCATATTTTCTTGTATATTTTAAGGCATACACATTGTGTTAGAACGTATAAATAAACATCTTTAACTCACCTTATACAACACATTCCACTTGACACTCAAATTGACAGATTTTTGACTTTTGATCTCTTTCAGCTGTTCCTCTAAATTCTTCCAAATAGCCTTCATCTCCTCTGGCTCCAGGGCTTCGGAACCACACTGTCTGCGCGCTGCGCCGTTATGGGGTTGCGTTTTCAGCCATTTTTGGACTTCTTGAGGTTTACTTTGACTAATAACATAACAACGCCCTTAGTTTATATAACACTAGCGACATTTATTTAAAAAATTGTAGATTATTTAATATTGTGGAACATTTTTTTGCTCTATCATCAATAGTTTTCGCAGCGCATGCGATGCATTTAGTTTTAGTAGGGATCCTTATTTGTTTCTTGCAATAAAAATAGCCTATAATCATCAGTGATAAGGTAGCATTCAAGTGGTGTTAGAATTTTTAAAATCAGTCCAGCACTTTTTAAGCCAATTCGTTACAAACATACTTATATACAAATCTTTCCTCTTTTTATTAAGGATAGATTTAAACTGTTTTAACTGGATTTGGAGTTGCCTGTTGGTCGGAGCCTTTGCCTTTTGAGTTGATTTTCAGCAATCATGGGCAAATAAATTATATCTTACAAAAGAACTTATTAAACTAAGTTTTTAAGTGACTTTAAAAAGAAGAGGATATTTGTTTGATCAGTTTGAATATAATATTTTTGGAATTGGATAATTTTGGGTAGGACTCCAAGTACGCGTGCTAAACTTCGTAAATGTATGTGTGTAGATGAAATTTCTCAAAAACTAAAAGTCTTTTTTATAGTATGTATTTTCTTTTATTGACAAACCTTTAACACATTTAAAGAAAATACTTTTTTATCGGATTGAAGTTATGTATTATTATAAATTTACAATTATTTTACATAATTTTAAATTTAACCGACGTTTCGCGTGCTTTACAGCGTGCGTGGTCACGGTGACTGAAGACAAAAGGTGTTGAATGTCAAAAAGTATCACAGCTGTAGAAAAAGTTGTATTATTTGTATTTTCCCCGGAGTTCGTATTGTCTAAAAGAGGGAGGGTCTTGGCAGAAATGGCTCACGGTGTCCTCTATTTTTGCGGATTGTGTAAAATAATTTTAAATATATTATAATATATAACTTCAATCCGGTAAAAAAGTGTTTTCTTTAAACCTTTTTTTTAAATAAAATCAGATACTGAAGGAACAGATCATCAATCTTTTTAACACTTATGCTTTCTTTTTTTCTAGTTGACAGGAAATTCATTCCTTTTTTAGCTATTAGTTATATATTTTAGCATTTAAAACATTTAGCTATGATTATATTTAGACTAGAAATAACACATACCCCACTGCATCAGGCCACAAATCGCCTTCAAAGAATACATCCCGGTTCATCGTGTAGGCAAGTTTGTCGAACAATTCTGGATATTCCCTCGCATAACTTTTCACCAACTCGACACATCGTTCCGAGTATGTCCATGAGTTTGTCACTTTACACCGGCGGGTGTAACCTGATACTTCTTGGTTCTAGAAAGAAGAAATTAAAGAATTTAACATATAAACTGACTTTTATATACAGAACATATTTAAATATACGACGTGTTTTTGAAGTGAAACTTCTTTATCGAGGTTGGAAAAAAATTTAGTGTAACATTTTTTCGTTACGCGTTACATTTTTCGGTTACGCGCCATGATGCTTTTTGAAGTCAAACTTCTTTATCGGCGTTGGAATGAAACTTCTTTATCGACGTATGGGAGAAATTTTGTAGCAAATCGTCACGTTTTTCAATGATAGTAATAATTCTATTACAATTAATGAAATTCTATAATAATCTTCGTAGTAATAAGGTAAAATGAAGTATTTGTATTCATGTCTATGATAATAAAAGCCTTTTGTTAAACTTTATCTAATTTAACGAATTTCTGTAAAGTTGCATATAGTAGATCATTTTTCCAAAAATAAGATCATAAAGAAGTTTCACTTCTTACGTGTGTACACCTAGTACACGCACAATTTTTTTTTTTATTTAATGAATATCAGTGTCAATATGCATATTAACGTAAAAGTACAGGAAAAACGTTAATAATTAAGAAACCCATTTTTCCAAAAAAAATAACCAGTTAATACTAAGTCAAACTACAATATATTGAATAAAAAAATAAGTCTACTATTTTTTTTTCATTTGATTTAATATGTTAACTCTTGAAAAACGTCTTCGGGACTAAAGAGCCACAGCACAGTACATATTAAATTACGATCTTAAAAAGCCTTAAATAAAAAAGGAATAAACAAATAGATAAAAAAAATACCTTTTTATTAAACTTGAGATTGAGTCCAATATTGATCTTGGACTGTGTCTCCGTTGGCAAGTCATTCCGTACACCCGATATAACCAGAATCGATCCTGTTATGCGCGAGAGCATTTGTGCAGATATACCTGAATAGCAAAAAATTAAAAAAAAAACTAAACTAAGCAAGATTTACTTCAATTTAAATATTTCGTGACATGCATATGTCAACTGCGTAAGCTATATGTGTAAATTTGTGAATTATAGAACGCATAGCCGCTTTAAAAACACGCTGCAAGTCACAATTACTGTTAATTTTTTTTTTTTTTTGTAGTGTTGGCCTAGTGGCTTCATCCCTGAGTTTGTTCGATCCCCTACTGTGCAACAATGGACTTCTTTCTATGTGCGTGAATGAAAACCAGCTTGCCTTAATCCCAAAAAGTCGACGGCATGTGTCAGGCACATGAGGCTGATCAACTATTTGCATTAGATTGACAAATGTTCATGAAACAGATATCTGAGGCCTAGACCTAAAATGGTCACTGAATTTTTATTTAATTTTTTCTTTCCACTGGAATATTGCTTAGAAATATTCGAGACTGTTTAAGAAATTGAATTTTAGTTAATATACATACCACAAGCAGCAGCGGCGTGATTAGCGGATCGATAAGCGCAAGCGGCGGCTTGAGCTCGTGGTACGGGTTCTTTGGCCTCTCGTACGCACACCTTTATACGCCCGCTACGGGCCGCGTCCGCATTTACCACCTGGACGAATTTCAAAGTATTATAATTCCAGTATTTTACAATTTTAGTACCTATTTAGGTAAATCCGTGGATTCCTATTAGACGCCAAAATTATGATTTTACTTCGATTAAACGTATATAATAGAAATTAAATTCATTTAAGCCCTAAAATTACAAATAATGAGCCCAGAAGATTAGAAATTAATAATTTTATGAAAATCAAATTGTTATATTGTAATGAGAACAAAGTTCTTGAAACAATTTTATTACAATTAATTAATAAGATATAAATAACCATTAACTGATTGATGGATTAGACTTGTTAATGTTGACGTACATCTAGTGAGAAAAGACAAATAACTTGCTATTTTAACTAAAACGAGTACCTTAAAACCTGTAGGAATTTAAACACAAACCATCAACTTTATATGTCTAAAAGCACTTTAAAGAACTCTTTCGTCTCTTTCTCTCAAATTGTTTTTACGTCCCAATAAAAAGAGACAGAGTACTTTAGTTAAACCGCTGCAATTAGATATTGTTAGTTAGGTTTTTTCGTCGTTTTTAAATTAAAATGTTTATTACCGTTGCAAGACATCCATAGTACTGTCCCTGCGTCAACAGGAACACGGTATCTCCCGTGGGATAGGCCTCCGTTGGAGTGAGATATTTAGCAGGAGGCTTCAGCTCTGAAGCCTTGGCATTAGCCACTATAGCTTGAAAGGCGTACCCACAAGGGGTATCGCACCACTCCTCCTCCATAGCCATGCGAACATTGTCTTGAATTACGTATTTATAACCTTAAATTTATAAGACAATATTTATTTATTATTTACTAGCTGTTCCCTTCCACGCTTCGCTGTAGCACATTGTGATTGAATGGTTGAGAAATGAGAAACAAAACAAACAAAACATTTCATATAAGTTTAATTTTGCAATACTTGTGGAAAAAAATAAAAAAAAAAAAATTATATATCCTGTCAAAATTTCAGCTCGATCGGTGCAGAACTTTTTGAGTTTTTAAAGCGTACAGAAACCAACATAACATATTTATGTACATATATATATTATAACGCTCTGCACAATATACAATTTTTAATGTGACAAGCACTTATAGCCAAACATAACATTTTGGATATATGAGTTTCATATCCCCAAAATGGAGCAAGGGGCAGGAATTCCATGCTTAATTTTATGGAAATGGAACCGGATACATACCTTTTAAATTTTTGGCATGCACGATCACATTGACGTCACCAAGTTCAATGCCTAGACGATTCATATTACTGAAATAAAACTTTTTTTCAGTACAAGTGGATATTCTTTGGTAATTATGGAGTGAGATTCAAATCGTGGATTAGGCCTAAGTATGACATCCATTTGTCATAGCCTGTCCGTTTTTGACATACAGAAGTTTTGACATTGTGAATACAATTGTATAAATTCATATTTTTTTGCTAAATAAAGATTACTACGGATTTGAAACTTAATTATTTTATTTAAAAACTCTTTAATCATTTTTTTTACACGACGCTTAATAGCGTGTCCTGTCACTTAAAAATAAGCTGTAACAATCTGGACCGAAAAAAAATAAACACATAAATTATATGTCAACCATTAAAATACACTAAAAATCATCATAATTTTTTTTCGTTCGTTAAGTTCCAGCCGTTTCTGAGTTTAATTACACATTCACTGAAGATATAAATATAATCAACCAATTTGTACCGTTTTGATTAAAATACTTATCTCTCCCTTTTCATCACAGTGTAAACACAATTAAATAGAAAGAGACTTTAGTTTTTTAGACACTCGCTGAAGAAATCTTGTTTTTGAAGTTATACTTCTTTAGGTGCGTTATGAAAAATTGATGAGGGTGAAATTTTAAGATGCGCGCGCACCGTGACACAAAATTAACAGAATGAAGTTGCCCACGGAAGATGCTACGGCATTGGACATAATTTAAAAACAACATTCGAATAATAATAGAATTTATGTTACACTTAATGTAAGAGAATAATAATAAATATTTATTTATTTAATTTTTCAAATATAAACTGAACTTTATTGACTAAAATGACTACTTTTCCAGTCTTTGATTATTTAATTGTAATTAATTATTGGCATGCAATCAAAAACTATTTTTAATAATGCCAAAGAAGTATAACTTCTTACGCGCGTACATAAGTACACGCACCTTTTTTTACATTTTTATTCTACTAACGCCGTCAATAGTTCTACTAGCGTCTAGAAAAACAATACTTACTGTTCAATAATAGTAGACCGTTCAGAGATCCATTGTTTGTGAAGGTTTCCCGTGTTGTGCTCCGTCGAGTAATGAAGACCTATTGGGGTCTGTTGGTCGTTGTGATGCAGACGAACTTTCTCGTTTGATACTGATATAACTCTGAAATAACAATTATTAAAAATGTATTACTATAACAAAACAATGGCGCTACCACCTTTTTAGGTCTGGGCCTCTGATTTCTGTGATTGTTTCATTATCATTTGACAATCTAATGGGCAAGTAGGCGATCCACCTGTGCTTGACACAGGGCGTCGAGATTTGGGTCTAAGACAAACTGGTTTCCTCACGATGTTTTTCTTCACCGAGCGAATGTTAAATGCGCACATAGAAAGAGAATCAATTAGTGCACAGCCGGGGATGTAAATAAATATATAGAAAGTTATTAAGTGATTTTTTTTTATTTTATCATATTCCGATGGAATCAAGTCACAATCTCGTTTTGAGCAATACCAGACCCCAGAAAAAAAAACCAGACCCCTCAAGACAAGTATGTAGTTGATATGATATCGACAGGAATTTTTACGCTGTAGGTTTCATAAATAAATATCAAGGAATGTATTTATGTAGGAATATTAAAAGAGTTTGTTTATGACAAAAAAAATCTCTTACTTGGCTCTAGTAAGATGCGGCCAGCCGACCCAGATGATCTTCCCCATTAAACCAAGAGCCAACTCCTGTAGGGGTGGGTTTGTATCTTCTTCGGGCAATACTTGCACTATCATGTTCTCATTGCGCGAAGGCTGGTCGAATACTTTGACCTTGCATTTTCTTAGTTGCGTCTGCAATTAAACATGTTTTCAGAAATTTCGTAAGCGTAAACTCTTTATAACGTCATTTTTTATACGTACTTGAAGTCAACTTTCTAAACTTTAAAATACTTATTTTGCTTTCCCAATACGTGGGTAACACTGAAAATGTTTAGAACTCTTTGAACCTAATTTAGTATATTGCATTAATTTGTCATTTGTTTTTGTGAATTGGCGGCAAATCTAAAACTCTTCGGAACGGGCATTACTTCGAAAAACAATAAAAGTATTGGCAACTTTTTACTTTCTAGATTTTTTTAAAAGCATGCTTTAGCTTACGTACCCTCACAATCACGCCATCACACAACACAGCGAATCAGTTCTTACTTAGTTAAAAGTATTCAATGATTTTCAATGGCAATATGTAGTTTTAAATTTAGCCAGTTTCAAGTAAAATGATTTTTTTTATTTTATTTTTTTGTAAATGTTTAAACCTTTTTTATATATTATGTATTCAATCATTGGCCATATCTTTAAGTATAATTGTTTTTTATATATAATTTGTTAGCTGTAGATTTACGAAATAAATAAATTACCTTAAAAGCTACATTAGTAGAATTATAATACAATGCAACAAATATATTTATTAGTCAAGAAAAATAATCGAACCTGATACTTCAAGTGGCGCATCGTAGGGAATCCGGGGGAACAAGAGATCCCTCTGCGCATTTGGCAACATTCCTCTTTTTAGGTTCTCTTCGCTCACTTCCAGTTCTGTCCGGAATACTGCCTGTTCTATTGCATGACAGGATATCGGTGGGAAAAAGTCAGGCGCTTGAGCTGTACCTGTATATGTTAATAAACATTATAATAACTTCAACTTAGGTATATATTCAGGTCTGGACCTCAGATTTCTGTATCTGCTCTGATTAGCCTTCTTTGCTTGATACACGCCGATGACATTTTGAGTCTAAGGAAAACCGATTTCCTCACGATGTTTTCCTTCACCGTTCGAGGGAATGTTAAATGCGCATATAGAAAGAAAGTCCATTGGTGCACAGCCCGGATCGAACCTACGACCTCAGGGATGAGAGTTGCACACTGAAGTCACTACTACTATATATATATACTATATCTTAATATATATAAATCTCGTGTCACAATGTTTGTCCTCAATGGACTCCTAAACTACCGAACCGATATCAATAAAATTTGCACACCATGTGCAGTTCGATCCAACTTGAGAGATAGGATAGTTTAAATCTCAAATTATAATCGCAATTTTAAATTATTGCAAAATATTTGTTTATTATTTGATACAATTCTAACAGATGGCACTGTGTTAAAATTATCTACCTTTCACATAAGTTCTCCTACCGTTTCCCTTGAATAGTTTACAACTATGTAATATAACAAAAATCTTAGCCACAGCAAAGCTTGGCCGAGTCTGCTAGTAGCATATATAAACGTGACTAAAACTGCCGCCTATTAATAATATAAGGAGTTCCTAACGAGAAAATTTTCCTTAACACGTTTTAATAGTACTTTCAATATGTTTTCTTTTATATAGAAAAGAAAAAAAATACTTTATTTCTCATAAACAAGGATGTATAGTTTATAGAGAACTTGCACTAGCCTTTTGGATTCCCTGTGTGGGTATTAATTAATTTCTTTAGGTATATATACTAAGAATTTTATAATCAAACTACTGCACAGAATATTTTTCGTTTCAGCACAGATTGAAAAGATTGTTAATTTATAATGTTTGAATCGTTACTGAAAATTTGTTTTTAAGAAAGTTGTTAAAGATATATGTTGAAATTAGAAAAATTTAACCCTTGTTTACCAACTCATATTATAAGTACATCTCTGGTTTATTTTTTAAATATTTTTTTTTAGATAAAAATCTGTTTATTCATTTTAAGTACATATGCATTACAATGTGTAAGATTTGGGAACCCTTTTAAGTAAGACATACCTGTGTCAGGGCTCTTCTATAACAAACTTAAGTATAAATTCCTTAAAATATTCCTTATATATAATTGAATTACATCTTTTATTTTATTTACTTTTCAACTGTTATCAACACGCCTGAGTGCATGAGTGAGTGTGTGTGTGCAAATGTGTAAGTGAGTGAGTGAGTAAGTGAGTAAATGAAAAAAGTGTATTTATGCTGGCAACCCTGACATATCACTGTTTTGTAATAGTCTATGATAAAGATTCTATCATTATTTAATAAAACACTATTTTGACCGGATTGAAGTTATGCATTATTATAAATTTACAACTATTTAACATAATTTTAAATTTATAATAATACATAACTTCAATCCGGTCAAAATAGTGTTTTATTAAATGAATAAAAGTTATGTTAATCAAAGACAATTCTATCATTATTATTTTTCATTTAAATCATCAATATATATAACTCACCTACAGGTGTAGAACTCCAGTTATATACGAGCATAGGTCCGTGCATATTACGCTTGAGCTCTTCTTCCGTCAAACGCTGATAACAGGGCGACATTGCTGATAAGAGATTGACCTGGAATTTTTTTTTTTAAATAACTCGAGAATAAATAAAACCAAAAATCTATTTCGAAATGTATTAATTTAGTTTTTTATTAGTCCCATACCCCACTAATACGTTACCTCGTCAATAAATGGTATCAAGACAACAGCCTCCCAATCGTTCTTCTTTCCATTCAGATCTGTTTCAAAATGTATTGGGTAGTAATGTACAATAGGTGAATCCTCATCCGTCATCAGGTCATGGAATGGAGTCGGTAGGAGATGCTTACTGGCTGCTGGTAATACTGCCAACAGCTGGGAATTTTCAGTTGCTATTAGACGCGTAAAGTGTTTACTGAGTATGCTACGCTCGTTAACCGTGTACTCGGTCGAGTTATTCAGTCGTTAACGAGTATAGCAAAAACGGTTAACACTTAATTATTAAAATCACAATATAGATTACAGTAATCTAAGTAACCAATCAAATAAATTGCTTTTAAAAAGAGTTAAGGTGCGCTTACACGAGGACAATAATTGCTCGGCGACACGAATGGCGCAATTAATGGAGCAATTTCAATAAATTCAATAAATTATTTCGGCGATATTGCTTCTAATTGCTCCAGATATTTCATATCGCTCAATGTCGCAGATACGAATTGACGAATATCCAATGGACTTGGAAATTCCTAGCAATTTTTGTATATGTCTCATTCACACTTAGTTGTTTTGCGGCTTGCCGTCTTGCTTCCGCGGGGTGAGCGAGAGGTCTAAATATTAATAATTTCTAATTACTTTTTTTCAAAAGTAATTCAAAGTCTGTTCGTGACATTCTAGTAAAGTTTTTGAATAATATATTATCTAATTCTTGAAAAAAAAAACAATTAAATGAAAGAATTAAAGAAAAAATTATAAATTAAAAATTTAATTAATTAATTATTTTTTCTTTAATTGTTTAATTTTATTTTCACAATGAAAATTGCGGCCTCTTTGCCAAAAACGATCGCACTTAGATTTGACGCACCAGAAGCCTATTCCTTTTCTTTCTTTTTTGTTTTTGATTAATCATAAAAAAGCGCTACAAGCCGCCGCAGTAAGAACAATGTCGTCCATAGCGAGCGAATACTGAAATGCTCGTGTAGCACAGTATTGCCTAGTTGATGAAGTTGCGCAGTATTGATGCTTGTTGCCGTTGCCGTAAATTGCTTGATGTAGTCGTGACGTCATAGTTGACGAGTATTGACTGGAATTGAACAATTTTAGTTGCCCGTGTAAGCGCACCTTTAGAAGGACACAAATTGTTCCCTAAGTTTCGTTGATTACACTAAAGCTTTCGACACGGTATCTCACATGAAATATTTAATTCACACAAAATATATTCAAAGCGAAAACCAGAATAGATCGTGATTTTTTAAGTTTCTAGATAGGTGCTGAATAAAAAAAAAATATTCGGAATTTAATAATACACGTCGAACTGATAACTTGCACTTACATACATACTTTAGTCGGTTAAAAATAATATTTATATTATTTTGAAGTGAAACTTCTTTAGGCGCATGAGGGTAAATTTTTACGAAAACGTCACGATGTGCAGCGTTTTTGTCGAAGAAAAGGGAGATTGAGACCGATTGAAAGAGAGTGATAGGGCCGAATTACCTTATAGAAATTCTATTTTAAAATTAAAATTTCGTAAAGACAATTTATGAAATATTAGTATGTATTTTATATTTTATGCAAAATAATTTATTGAAATCTCAAATGACAAATTGTAAATTAAAATGCCACGTGTTTTTATTATCGAAGAAATAAATTTAAAATATTAAATTTATAATTTTGGACACTAAATATTTTTATGATAATTAAATTCATTAAATTCCTAACATATCTTCCTTTTTCCTCCCTCTAAGTCTCGGAAATCTAAAGTTACATATTTGTATAAATATGAACAAGACTTAAAAATTAGTTTGCCAAAAATGTTTCACTTCTGACAAGTCTACTTTGTACGCACGCACTTTTTCTATAGAACAGGAGGCTCATCTGATGTTAAGTGATACGCCACTTAATGCCACAGGGCTCGGGAGCGCTTTGCTGACCTTTTAAACCTTAATAATTGCGAGCGTGCGTTTACGTCAGTTTATATTTTAAAAAGTTACCTGTTCAAATGGTTTGAACGGATCGCCCAACTCAAACTCAATTTTCAAATCCTTGAACCCCTTAATATCTGATATATATGGTGCGTAGTGGTGCGGATAATACCAGCACCAGGAAGGACACCCCTTATAGTAATAGAATAAGTTCCATTGTATTGCACGCACATAGCCCTCGGCTTGGTCCGCTAGTACTTCACTAAAAGTCATTGAAAATAATTAAATTTACACATTCACCCACATCCCAGAGGATGCTTCTTAGATGAAGGTTAACATCGTGAGGTAACCGGCATATATCAGACACAGAAGCCTGGTCACCTTTTTGTCTATGAAATAAAATCAAAGAAAGGTAAGCAATTTGGGGCCAAGACTATATTGGGTTGTAGCGCCACTGGGTAATTATTCAGCGCTTCTATTTAAAGAACAGGGGGCAAACCGTCAGGAGGCTCACCTGATGTACAGTGATATGCCCATGGTCTCACAAAGCCAGACAGCTCGCGAGTGCGTTGCCGCCCTTTTAAGAATGGGTACGCTCTTTTCTTGAACTCAATTATATCAGACATGCGATATGCGTGGATACCCATATTACACTACTTTGATGACACTTGCCATGACTTTAATAGGAATATACCAAATATTTAATTTAAAAAAAAAGGATCCCGATAGCAGTTTTGTTTCAGAGAAATTTGTTTATAAATTTACGTACACGTACAAATTTAGCATTAAACTTGATTAATAGATTATTAAATTCTAACAAAATTACACACAAACTGATAACCTTTATTATTAACGTCGGATAAAAACTAAAGAATAAAGTACTTACTCAGTAACTTTAGAATAATCCAATTTGTTCATATAATAGTCCTTTTTGTGTAATATGAACTCCATTTCAATAGTTGCCTCCTCTGGCGAAATTAATAAATTAAATACAAAACTTTATAAAAAAAGCTATGAATAAGTGTAATTAATGCACAGCATTCAATGAGTTTAACGTGCAAGCCTGAGGTAGTTCGTACACCAATGGGATTACGTACGCATGGATGTACGCAATTATCACTCGTACGGTGAAGGTAAACAGTATGATGAAACTGGCGAGTCTGTTCATCTAACGACGATGTCTATTAATGAAAAGGCTGATCACCTACTTGTATATAAATAAAAGGCACCTCTGAATAATATGCTTATAGAATCGTTATTTCTAAAAAATTAAGTAATTTAAATACCTAAGAATAATCTCTTTGCACCTATTAACAGTTACACAACACAAAAAAAGAAAAGATAAAATAATAATAAATAGAGGTAATTTAACAAACACAAAAATCAATAAATTATTGTCAGCCAAAGCACGCCAAACGTTATAAAGACTGTGTGTGGTTTCTATTCGACGCAGGCGGACCTTAATAATGATTATTAAATACTATTAAAATGTTTGTTTTTAAAACTTAATATTGTTACAAAGTTCAGACGCTAGTCCCGTTTTATATATTATAATCATGAATTTTAAAAACTTAAACTAATACAAGAAAAATCAAACTAATAAATTCAGTCAGACTAAGTCTGCGTACGAATGTTTTTGCGAATACGCGTGTGTGCGTAATAAACACGTATGTGTGACTGAGTTAGTTTTTGCATAAGGCAATTCGATTGAGTTAAAACTTAAAATTTACCATCACTAGTTTCTTCATATTCATCATCATCATCAACTGCGACGTCGTCCATGAACTAAAAATGATATTTTATTGAGACTTAGAACACTTTTAAAAGTTTAACCAGAGATAGCCATTATCGTGAGACCCAGGTTCACAATGTGCGGTATCTGTGTATAAAATATATATTACTGAACAAGCACTCTAAGCCGAGACTAGGAACCGATAGTAAAGCTTGTACAGTGCTCGGCAATTTATAAGTCGCATCGTGCTTTAGAAAGAGATATTCGGCTAGCTTCGGCTTCGTATAGCGCCGTCTCTGTCACCCTTGTCAACCAATTTAACTGTAGAAGTCTGATCACCTAATTTGTCCTCAAAAATATCTATTTGTCCATTTTTCTAGCAGGATGGGCAAATCTTGCTCAATGACAAAAAGATTAACCGTTTTTTAAACGCGGTCTAGCGTAGTTTGTTACCATGGTTATCAATTTTTACATGTAAACCTTATATACTACTATCATGTTCCATGATTCCATGACCGTATTTGACCTACTTATTATAGTATTAACTTCAATTCTTTCAGATTAAAGGCAATTTTAATATTTAATTAGCATAAGGGAAGTTATTCGAACTTATACAATTCTTTAAAGAAAAAACTGTTTGACCGGATTGAAGTTATATATTATTATAAATTTACAACTATTTAACATAATTCACTTATATGAATATACGGTATGAATTATGTTAAATAGTTGTAAATTTATAATAATACATAACTTCAATCCGGTCAAACAGTTTTTTCTTTAAATGTGTAAAGGTTATGTAAATCAAAGACAATACTATATACAATTCTTATTTGCTACACATCAATACATTTATTAATAAAATCTATAAATTATATTATATCAATTCGAATGAATTAGGGAGCGTGACGTATTACTTGAACGTTCCCTTAGTGTGAGTGCATGTTAGTCCTAAGTTATAAACAGTGGTAAGTGGAAAAACATAACATAACACTAGTACATAGCAAGAACAGAGTGTCTTCCCCTGTAAGTATAGTGTTATTGGACACAAATGTTAAATATCTCTTTTAGGAAAAAAGGTTAGCTTCAAATTACTTAGTAGCCTTAAGTTAGGCAAGATCCTAAAGTTAAATGATGAGTCTTTGTGCCGAGACAATTTATAAAAAAAAACTATGAAAATTCTGTCAAACCATGACGTAACAGGGTTGTCAACATAAAAGGGTACCGCACAGACTACATGAAAAGTACTTATAATTACCATTTCCTGTGTAGCATTGATGAGAGCTTGTAATTCATCATCTGGTTTGTTTGCCTTTATATCGTCTATGTTTACGTTGAACGTATCATCATTGTTCGGTTTGTACTGGAATAACGGTATAAATAAAACTTTAGTGTAAATATATATAACAATTAGTAACACTGAAACTGAACGAAAACTCCAGATTTAATTCCGTAGAATTCTAACATTTCATAAATGTTACTACTAAAAAAGTTCTCAACCGAAAAAAGGGACAAATTTGACCCAGATTTGGGCAATAAAATAAAATGCTACGTATTTTTTATGTTTTACCTACAAAAAGATAAATCTTAATATTTACTTACTCAAGTGACCTAATACAAAAAAAAACAAATATTTCAATATCACGAACAATATATCGAATTAACTTTAATTACTAATTATTTTATTCTTTAGCTGGCATCACTGCCTACCAATTCCAGGTTTAGTAAACCTTTAAAAAAAATATTATCTTTACTGTATAACGTGTTTTACAGTTTCTGATGACAAGGGACGTAATTATCAGACGCCGTACAACCACTTTTAATGTTGATTATTAAAAAAATGGATACATTCACTAACAAATAAAATGTTTGTAAAGAGTCAGATGTTGACTCGTATTGAAATTGAAAAATGTGCCCCGCCAAAAAGGTTTGTAATCTCTGACATGTCAAATATATCTGATAGCTGTCAGAATTCTACGGAACGAAAATTCAGAGTATAGTTAGATTATCCTCACGTGATGTAACTATACTTAAGATTTAAATTTTGGTAATTTTTGTCAAATTGTATTAAGTCGCCAATCTTCCATAGTTTAAAAGATAGTTAGGGTCGCTTATACCTTTTTAATTAAATATAAGTAAAACTTACATCTTTTCTCTCATTAGCATTAGGCCGTCTTCCAGTTTTCATTTCAAAATATTTCAGGTCTGCATAAGTGTCTTGAAACTTCTCTTTGTCTATTTTAGCCAACTCTTGCATGAAAACTTCAAACCTAGCTAGGTTCAGGTCACCAGCTTCATTTATATATCCTGCAAAAAAATATTACAAAAATGACAAGTCTGAAATCTCTGTTATATAATATATTTTCTTTGCTTACTTAATTTTACATTAATTATGATTGAATTTATTAATTTGATCATATTCTTAAAATAATATTGCATTTAAATAATCTATATAAAAATATATAATATCTGATATTTAATAGATTCATAAATATAGCTAAATATGAATCTTCAATCAATACATATTTGGCACATATGAGACACTTTATTTCATAAATGTACCAGATCAAACACAATCAAAATGTGTCGGGTCAAACATAATCGGATAGTCAGATCAAAATCTTCGTGAAGAACAAATAAAAGTCATAAATGTCTTAAGATCTGTGAAACAATTGTGTTGTAATACAACAAATAATGACCTATTTATGTTCCAAATATGGGTGTAAATTTCTATGCAAGAAATGCCAATAAACATAATGTTGTACATAAAAAACAATATTTTAGTATAAAAAATTTTCAATTGTAAATAGTATGGAATAAAACAGATAATACAAACCATCTAAAGTCGGTAGAACAGTCATATACGTCTTATACAATAGCGGCAATGCATCATTACTTATATGCATATTCGGTAAGTTGGGAATAAAATCATTTCCAACCAAAAATCCCATTAAAACCCAATCATCAACAATCTTCTCAATGTCATATTTAAATGGAAGATTTTCTTTTATAGATATGAATTCTTGTTCTAAGTACTCTCGGAGTAAAGATAAATGCAAAAGGTAGAAGTTGGTCTCTTCTGGGCTGGTCGCTCTTTGGGTTGTTTTGCCAAATTTTACCTGAAATATTAAATATAGCATTTCACTTTATAATATTTAGATACTAGCGCACTCGGTGAACTTCGTTCCGCCTAACTGTCTAATAATATCGTGTTAACTTTAGTTAAACTTAATTTAGGATTTCATTAAGTTAATAACATTAATACAACTTTTTTGGCAAATACAGAAATGTTTTATTGCGAAAGAAGAATGGCAGTTTTACACATTAGGCCTCTTCCCTCTGCGCCAATATTGCGATACTGCATGTTAAAGCACTTTCTGATATACAACATTTTTTGATGAGGCAACACATGTCTTCAATCAAGATCAAAGCCTGGCTATGCATCTCATCATTCACCTGAAGATTTGAATTTCTTGAACTGACAGGAATTCGATATAAAATGATGCGTAGTTTTGTCAACAGATGGCACCACATGCTGTTTGCATTCGTAAAATTAATTAATTAATTTATTATTATTTAATAACTTATTCTGCTATTCGGAGCTGAGAAGAATCCCCCAAAAAAGAGATAACTACATTTGTCCAGCCGATCTTGAGTTATAAGTGGTGTAACTAACACAACTTTGTTTTATATACTTGGTTTACTTATTACCTTTTAAATTTACACAATTATTATTAACTGGTAAAGAAATTCAGCTCTGTGGGTTACATGGACTATCAAATTACAAATTAACTAGGTGAAACCAAGCTGCGAATATTGTTTTGATAAAGTATAGATAAGTCTTAATTTTAGTATTTAAAATAATGAAATACAGATAAGCAAAATATTACCTCTTCTCTTAGTAAAGCAAAGTGTGGTTCATGAGTACACATTCCTAACATAATGAGATCGGCATCAAGACCATACAAACAATGGCGGGTGTTTGGGTCATAGTCTGGTTGAGAACGAGCCCAACGAATATAATCCATAATCTTATGTTCACCCTCTCCGGGAGTCTAAAATGAATATTAAGGTTTATTCTATTAATGACATTTGAATATAGATAAAGTTGGCAATTAAATGCCAACATAATACTTCTAATTTTATGAATTGCAAGAAAGTTTAAATTTATATATAAATTTTTTTTTTTATGTAATAACAATAATTTAATAGTAAAATGACTTTGAACCAAATTCATTTTGTATATTGTATAGGTTTTTTATTGTACCGAGTAAACAATTGTTAGCAATTAAACTAAGAAATCATACCTCATGACCAGATAAAATCACTTTAACTTTTGACCATAATGGATCCTGGGTAATCTTCATTTTTACAAAATATTTCAACTGTTCATGAAGCCTTGCCATAAAAACAGTTCCTGGTGTAATACAGTTACTGTCAAACCTCTTTTCAGTGGGCAGCACTTCTCCTATAAACATAAATTATATTTGAGTAATGGTCATGTTTTACATAAAATAAAGAATACTCAGTTATTAAAGTTTCCTCTCAATACTCCTATCAAAAGATGCAAGTATATCTATTTTATACAAAAATAAATATATAACTGTATTTCAATATGCAAGTTGTGTATGTGTACACACTGACCGCATTTAGGAAAACAACCAGCAAGACATATAAAGAATTTGTTTACGTCCCATTGTGAGGCCCATTCCCAATCATGGATTATATTTTATGTAGTTCATTGGTAAAAAACATTTACCTTTAGCCTTAGCCTGAGCTTCTAATTCTTCTGCTTCCCTTGCAGATCGGAATCTGGAATTACAAAATATAAACATAGTTAATATATTCTATTAACCTACAAAATCTTTATCCAACCTTTGATAAATATTTCTATGAATTCATCAATTCAGGTGGTTCAATTAAAGCATATGAAGTTGAATAAATATTTACTTAAAAGTATGAAACACCTGAATACTTACCATTTTATTATGGCTAGAAATAATAATTAAAAAAATAATTTTTTTTTACTTTATAGGAAATTTTAGGTTAGGGTATTATCTGTTATATTACTCTCTATAATACTATATACTAGTAAACTCTTAAAGTTTAGTACCGTCGACCCCTCTGCTGATTCATTTTGGCCCTTGGAGCAACACCATCAATAGCCATGAAGAACAGCTTCTTGGGCTTTATAATTTGAAATAAAACACTTAAATAATGAAAAATATCCTTAAATATTTTCTCTTCTGTGATTCGAAAATGTGGATTTGAGTCATCAGGATGTGAGCAGTTGTGTATAATGCCATTCATATCCAAATACATGTTGTCAAAGTCGGGGATCTAAAAAAACACCACTGTTTTTAATATCCAAAAACCTCTTTGGTTGACATATTGGTCATTTAGCAAAAATTATTTTATTAGGAAACATTCTTGGGATAATTTAGAAGCTCACCTGATATTGCTTCACCAACTCATTTAGACAAGGGTACCTTTCACTGGTATATCTGAAAAACTTCGGAACACCCATATTTCTTAGTTAACGCGATTCTCAAAATACTTAACGTAACGTAGCCTTCACGATGCTCTTGATTTTATTTATTAATTAACAGTTAACACAATTAAAACCTGACAGTTTTTTTACTGTTGAGTTGGTTATCCCGTTATTGAGATAAAAAGGCTATAGTACATTTCCTTTATGCAATCTACAAATTAAGCTGATTTTTAGAAGCAGACAAGCCGCGTTAAAATTATTTAGTCTACTTTCTATTCAATTGGAAATCCAATTCATGTTTTCTTAAAACATCGAAAAAATTATGAAAATATATCCATCACAAATGTCCATTGTCCAATGAGAACACAGATCAAGTAGAATGAGAAAGAACTTTGAAGTCACACAGATTTATATTTTATGCACAGACTTAAGACATTTATATGCCACACTTAATTTTTTTACCCATATACGAAAGTAGGAAAATCATAAAAAAATTAGCGAAAGTAATAAGCGTAGAAACGGTGACAACGTTTAAATAAATTGACACTTACGAAAGTTCGATAAAGTATTTATATAAAATGCATATTTTTTATAATAATATATCAAGTGTTTTTTAAATGTTATAGTACTTAACCCACCGGTTTTTAGGCAAATTTCCTAATATTTGGCACATTCACAACTACCTCATCAATTGTTAATTGTCATTTGCCAATTGAACGTACAGGTACCGGCAAACATCTTGAACAAATGTCCTTGCCTGCGCAGAAGCGATTTTTAGTTATCACTGGAAGGGGAGGGCGGCGGAAGGGTGACGTATGGATCGCGTGATTGATAAATTAGTTGACGTTTATGTCCCAGATACGCAAACATTCATCCACTCCCTTGTTTAATGCTCAAAAAGTTTGCCGGTATCTGTAAAAATATTGTAATTTTGCTTGTGTTGAGTGATTTGCAAAGGTCTTTTCCAATTTCCTTGAAACAAAAAGAAAATACCAGTTTACTAATATTATTTATTTAATATTTTTTGTCAATTGTTCAATCTATTGAAAATCGTATGCTATAGAAATCTTTTAATTTAGTACATTATTGTTTATGTTTAATCTCCATCAAAATTTTATAATGGAAGGTGACGAAATTGTAGGCGGATTAATTCGATTTATAGTGGACGAAGAAACCTATGTAGTTAAGTCAGATGATTGTCTAGGTATAGCTTTTCCAAACATTAAAAATGTGTTAGATGGAGTACTTAAAACCATTTTATTTTCTTACCTAACAAATATACAATTTAAATTAAATAACCTTGTAGCCAGGCTAACATATTATAACTTTTCATACTAATTTGACCTTACTCTTACAGATGCTGATGGTAATAACTCGGATTCCAACAGTGGGTACAAAAACACACCACTTCGAGAACAGGATCTATTTCTACCAATCGCAACTATAGCAAATATATTGAAGAGAGCTACCTATTCCTGATAAAGGAAAAGTAAATATTTCTTTTACCAAGCCATGAGATTGTATATATTGATTAGATAGTCATGTTAGTAAACATCATCCTCACATATTTACAAATATCGAAACCGTAGAATATTATACATTTAGAGTAATAAAACAAAACAATAAAACAGTGTGTGAGATAAAAATAAAAAAATTACTCTTTGTAGTATTATAAATAAAAAATAACTTTTTTTTTTAAATGAAAACTTTTAACGGCGTTGTACAATTTTTTGGAAAAAATGTTAAACTCGCGTCAGGACAAATTCGTAAGACGGATGTTTTTTTAAAGGATTATGAACCTTCGTGCTATATAGTTACGGTTTTAATTCATTTGTCTCTTTCCTCAGATACATTGATGCATGTAGAATTGGACCTTAAGTCAATATATCAAGGTTTTCCGAAATGTCTAAAGCTTTATTATTAACGATTTGGACAGACTGACGACGGATGGAAAGTAGACAGCTGGCGCGGCGTATTTAATGTAATATAAATTGTCATGTTTGTGTACGAATTACGATAGCGCAATAAATAAATATTGTTACGAAGACGGGTCGACTGCAATGTTTTTAGATTTTTTCACTACTTAGAGAACTTTTCAGCAGGCTGAAATGTGATTTCTGACCGTTTCAGGGGAGGGTCAATCACATATTAGAAAATCGCAATTTACATAATGTTACCCTAGTTTTCAGGAACCTGAAACATTTTTTCAGGCCGTTTCAGAACACGTGTAGTCGAATGGTACACTTTTCAGGAAACCCGTTTTCAGGCGTTTTCAGGCCTGGTTATACCCCTTTGACGAAGGAATGTTCTAGAACGAATTTTCTAGGTGTGGGACAAGGATGGAATGATACGCGAGAGAGAGGGAAGATCGGAACCTTCTCGAAGCTAGACCGAGCACTCTAGAACGCCGTACGACAAGGACGGAGCAATGTGCGAAAGGGATAGCTAGTACGCACGTTCTAGAATTGTGCGATCGCTACTCAGTTGCGCTGCCGCCTAGAGAGTTCTCGAACATCGCTCCCAGGGATATAAAAGCGAGCCGAAACGCGACCAGTTAGTTCAGTTTTGAATGCGATACCAAGCGATAAACACCGGAGTGACAAAGTGCGAATATAGTGAAGAAAAGTGAATACAAGTACTGTGTGAAGTGCGTGTTATTAGAGTAATTAGTGACAGTATTTTGTGTGTTTATTTAGTGAATTTTTGTGCGTAATTTCCAGTTTTTAGTGTTAACAAATTCCTCGTAGATTTAATTGAAAATAAACCCTTGAAGAGATTTACGGCGTTTCTATCCGATCCCCTAGCTCGTAACATTTTGGTGTCAGAAGTGGGATAGAAAAATGCCAATTACTCCGAGGGAGAATCAAGAGGAGTTTGTGGCCGAGTCTCCAGCTGGGGAGGGAGTGCAGACAAGGGCACAATCAGCACGCGACGCCGCCCGGCGACAAAGTTTCGATGCGAACCGCGGGATGGGCGAAAGCAACGATAGCAACATCCTCCTTGCCCTACGACAAATGATGGAAGAACAGGCACGACGTCAAGAGGAACAGGCCCGTCATCAGGAGGAACAGGTTCGGCGATTGATGGAGGAACAGGCTCGCCGTCAAGAGGAACAGGCACGCCAAATCGTGGAAGAGCAGGCTCAGACACGTCGTTTGATGGAGGAACAGGCTTGCCGTATCGGAGAAAGATTAGGAGATCTAAAACAAGAAGTAGATAAAAAAAATCGAGAACTTGGAATCTGATATGGACTGCAAATTTTCGAAACAGGACAAACGTATTCTCGGATTAGAACAAGAGATGCAGTGCCTGAAGACCAAAGGTGTCGTAACGACTGTAGCACCATCTGGAAATCTGAAAGTACCTCCCTTTGACGGTACATCTTCCTGGGGCGCGTACAAAATACAGTTTGAGACTGTGGCAGAGTCAAACGGGTGGAATGACGATCAGGCTGTCACCGCCCTTATTATGGGACTGCGAGATGAAGCCCTCACCATATTAGATACCAAGACAGGTAAAGTGACGTTGAAGCAACTGCTGGATGCCCTAGAATCACGGTACGGAGACGCACATTTAGAGCACGTCTATAGGGCTCAATTAAAGGATAGAATACAGCAGACAAATGAAAGTTTGCAAAAATGGGGATGTGAAATAGAGAAGCTGGTTAGGAAAGCCTATGCATCCTCACCAGACGTTGCAGACAAGATGTTGGTTCAAGCCTTCGTCGACGGTATTCGAGACCGTGAAATTCGAATGGCTGTGAACCTAGGTCACCATAAGGACCTCAAGAATGCTCTTGCTCATGCGTTGGAAGTGGAAGCATTTTGCAAGGATTCTCGACCTAACCGCATTAGGGCTGTCTCGGAAAAACGTAGTTCCCAACGTGGACCCACCTGTTACCTCTGCGGGGAAGTAGGGCATATGAGGTTTTCATGCCCTAAGAGAGATCTCCGAGGTGAAATGAAGACAAGACGTGGGGAGCCCGATGACGTGGATGTGACTGCCGCTGAACAGCGGCAGGGAAACGAAGCCAGGACCACGGGGCGGGTGCTGGCCGGTTCTGTAAGGAAGGCCCCAAAAGTTATGATCTCTCAAACTCAGGATGGGAATACCATTGTCATCGACGGAGAAGTTAACGGCACTAGGTGTGAGTTAACCCTTGATACTGGAGCTTCCCGGACAGTAATCAGATACCAACTTCTGAAGTCATTTTACAAGAGCCTTTCTGGTGGAAATGTACAGCTCCTTACAGCTACTGGTCAGCACATAACCGTTCGAGGAGAAGGTATCGCTACCTTCAAGATTGGTGGAAGAACATACAGACATAAGGTGGTTATTGCTGACATCGTAGATGACTGTATTATCGGTTTAGACTTCATGAAGCATTACAACTGTAAGATTGACCTGAAGAACGGCACATTCAAGTGTAGAGATGAAGTAGTTTTCCTAAAAGATAACACATTGAAGAACGGGTACGACGTGTATAGAGCAATCATTGAAGATGGTACAGTTAGTAAACAACGAGATATAGTTCAAGCAATACTTGAGGACTGTAAGGAAACCTTGACGAGAGAAGAAATGTCGAAAGCAAAGGGACTATTAAAGACATTTTCTGACATGTTTGCTACACACGATGGAGATCTAGGAAGGACAGGTGTAGTTAAACATCGAATTGAGACTGGAACCGAAGCACCTATACGTTTAAGACCGCGACGAGTACCTGTCGCATATGAAAAGAATATAGACAAGATGATTGCAGAAATGTCAAACCATAATGTTATTGAAGCATCTTCCAGCCCTTGGTGCTCTCCAGTAGTGTTAGTCAAGAAAAAGGATAACAGTTTAAGGTTCTGCGTCGACTACCGTCGTCTTAACGATATCACGAAGAAGGACAGTTATCCGTTACCTAGAATAGATGACACCTTGGATACCTTAAGTGGGGCAAAATGGTTTACAACTTTAGACTTGAAAAGTGGGTACTGGCAAGTGGAAATAGACTCAAGTCATAAAGAGAAAACAGCGTTCTCAACTGGTAA